TCTACCAAAATCAATCAATCAATCAATCAAGGCGAAACTGATCAATGTCCTGTCGCCTACATTTCACCATTATTTTAGAGAGATGTCCTGTCGTTTTCTTGCTTTAAATGATCCAGTCAATATTTCCCCTCCCCCAGGCTCCTTCCTGCCCACACCTGACCCTGCCCTCGCCCTGCCCAGTGCAGCCACGCTGGTGCCCTCGGACCCTCCAGTGGCCCGAGCTCGTCCCTGCCCCGGGGTCTCGGCACCTGCTGTTCCCCGGTTTGCAGCTCAGCCGTCATCTCCTCCAGCCCCACCCGGAGGACCGTCCCATCCTCTCCCGTTCCTTGAAAGCTGCCACAAAGGCCAAGCCACTGAAGCCTTGAAGGGGCGGGACTCTGTTCTAGTCCTTGTCAAATTCCAGTGCCCAGGGCAGCGCCGGAACACAGCTGGGACTCCTCGGCACTGTCAGGAAGGAAGGGGGTGGGGGGACAGGCAGAGAAGGCCATCTGTGCAAAGACCAGGGGGAAGCAGAGACAGGTGGTGGGGGTCCGGCATCTTCAAGGGACTCTGGTCAGCTGGGCTGGGGTCTCTGGAAATGGGGCCTCCTCTGGGGACCCCCACAAGCCACCCGGACTGAACGCCCTGGCCAGGTGCTCGCCTGAGCTGAGCAGGAGCCTCCAGACCTCCCTGCTGGCTGAGCAGTGGCCAAAGGGGAGCTCCAGCCTCCTTTGGAGGAAAGCTTTCAAGATGGGCTTTCCTCCTGCCTCAGAAATTCGCACAGGGCCGTCCTGGAGGAGGGGGTCTCCATGTCTTGTAGCCCCCATGCAGGGCATCCTCTGGGCAGGGGAAGCTCAAGGCACTGGGGTGCACAGGTGGAAGCTGACCCGCCTTTCCCGTAGCTTCACGTCCCACCGGGAGACTCGGCCCCAGTGGTGCCTGTCGCTGGGCGGACCAGGGTCTAAAGGTCGAAAAGAACCAACGTGCCTCCACCTGCTGCTTCTGGACACCCGGCGCTGGCTCTGAGACCCCTGGGCTTTGCTGGACAGCTTCCCACCTATACTGGGACAGGAGACAGGGGACAGGGGACAGGGGCCTGGCCATCCCAGCACCCAGGAGCAAGCAGTCCATCACCACCTGGGGCCCCAAGGTCTGGGACACCTTCCTGCTGGACCCACCCAGCCCTGAACCCATCCTGTTCGGTCACACGCTGGGCCCCTCGGCCCACCAGTAGGTGAGTCCCTGGAGCGTGCCTGCCGCCTGGTGAGACCTCCAGCCTAGGAGCCAGGGGCCCATGTGTCAGGGAGCAGGAGGCCGCCGAGGCCAAGTGTCCCACACAGCCACCACCCCCTGTCCCAGGATGGCCTGGGGCCTGGCAGAGCCCAGCCCTGCTTGTGAGCCCCAGGCTGTGCCTGACACCCCACGTGTCCAGTGTGGAGCTGGCAGGCAGCACTCAGTGCCCGGGGCTGATGGAGGCTGGGGCCCAATTGAAACCTGCACCCCTGTGGCGGGGGGAGGGGAGGGTTGGGCCATGCGGGGACCCCAGCCCCAGTGATGATGATGCTTTTCGGTGACCAAGCCCTCTGGGTGTCCCCCAGGGCCGAGAGGCTGGGCTTGGGGCAGCTGGTGACAGCAGACAGTGGCTCTGACCACTGGAACCTGGACAGTCTCTGGAGGGGTCTATGGGGTCCCGGGCAGGTCCTCATTCATGGCAGGATCAACCCCGTCCCCCGCCCGGTGTCTGACTCCGTGTGGCCCAGGCGGTCCCTTTGTCCCCACTGCCCCCTGGCCGGAATGACAGTGACCCGCCCAGGGCTGGGCCTGGCTCAGACCCCGTCAGAGCCGCAGGGCAGGTTCCTGGCTCCCCTGCGCTCCGGGAGTCTGTGCCCGGCCCCCCTTCCCGGCAGGAACTGGCTTCGTCCCTTCCCTTCCTTTATCTCCTGTTTTCAGCGCCTTCAACTGTGAAGAGGAGAACTCTTCAAACACGCTGAGCAAACAGGCTGGACTCCCGCGGCTGCATCCGGGATGTCTCAATAGCCGCGGCCCTGACGTCCACCTCGGACCCCTGCCCGGGACCCAGCCCAGTCCTGGAGGGGCCCTCCGCCCTGGGAGGTGCCTGGGGGAGGACGAGGCAGAGTCAGGCCCCCACTGGTTTGGTGTCACTGTGTGTGCTGACCGCCACAGGTGGGCAAGGCCCCTGCCTGGGGGCTCTTCCAGGGTGGAGGCGGGGCGGGTGGGGCCTCAGGCACTGAGCTGGGCTGGAGCTGCTGCCTGCGGGTCCCAGCTCCGCCACAGAGAAACGTTTCTTGCTGGTGCAGAGGTGCCCGGCCCGCTTGAGCTGGGGGCGAGGGGGCTGCCCCCCAGTGGGCCACCAGCTCCCATGAAGGCCGCAGGCACTGGCTGTGGTCAGGGAGGGCCAGGACAGGCAGCAGGGGCTGCAGGGAGACACCAGGAGTGGCCCCACTCCCTGGGTGGGCATCAGCTTGTGAGCTGGAGCCACGGGCAGGGTCAGGGGGAGGCCAGGAGGGCTTGTGGCCAAGGTGGGAGATCTGTGGAGGGGAGTGGGGGCATCTGCAGCAGGGGCCCAGGCAGCAGGCACACCCCTCCCCCAGCGTGAGGACCAGAAGCCACAGCATCAGGGAGCCCCCGTTTGCCCAGCCTGGCCTGGAGCAGGCAGGAAGGCCGAGGAGAGGGGTCTGGCCGGGGCCTGGGCCTAGTCACAGCCGGGAGCCCAGGGTGGGGCACCCCCCACCCTCCCGACCATCCTTAAGGCCACCAGCCAGTCATTGCCTCCCAGCCCTCCTCAGCGCCGCGCTGCCAAGGGACGACAGGGCTGGATATGAAAGAGCTCGGAGACCCCAGAGACCCTGCAACCTTCGGCTTTGGCAATGCCATCGGTGGGGTGCAGGGAGTTGGTGACCGAGCACCAGCTCTGGAGTCCCGGAAATGGGCAGGAGCCGGGGTCTGAGCCATGCTGAGGTCTGGGAACCCCCTTCTCCCGGAAGCCTGAGTCGCACCCTGGGACAGATAAACCGCCACAAAGGGAGGCGGGTCCCAGCCTCTGCCACGGGCCTCGTGCTCCGAGGAACCTCCAGGGGCCTCAGCCATGAGCGGGGACAGGTGGCAAAACCGGCCAGGTCCGTTCGCGTTGCTGTCCCCGTCCTCCATCTCCAGAAAATTCTCATTTCCCAACCAGGAAACCCTGTCCCCTGGAACACCAGCTCCGAGCCCCTCCGCCCACCGTCCACGTTCCGTCCACGTGGGTTTCATGACCCTGGGGGCCGCACACTCCAGGCCCCTCCCGCCTCTGCCCTTGTGTCCAGCTGGCCCCTCTGCACAGTGTCCTCAGCTTCCCCATGGAGCAGCCTGGGCCAGCCTTTCCTTTTCACAGCTGAACTGTGTTCCACCGCATGCGTCGGCCTGGTGGTGCAGGCCAGTCCCCCGTCGGTGGACGCACGGGCCACTTTCACCCCGTCAGAGGTGCTGCTACGGATGTGGGGGTGCAGGCTTTCCTTCATGAGCCGCTTCCAGTGCCTCCGGGGATGGACGCAGAGCAGAGCTGCCGGTCCCGCCCTGGCCGGGCGAGGGGCGCCGGGTCCCCACGTCTCAGCCAATGCTGCTGACTTCTTGTGTTTCTTGGTCCCCCACATCCTACTGAGCGTGAGGCAGGTCAAAGCCTTGCAGATGGGCTTTTCTCTTGCCCCAGAAATCCCACCGCTAAGAATTTAACTTCAGAAAGACAAACACAGGGGAGTTGGTGCAGGGTCCCTGTGACGGGGACGGTCGCCAAAGAAAACAAGACCTGGAAACCGCCATCCGGTCCCCTGGGGCTGGACGAGGCCACCCCACCCCACCCCACCTGGGGCTTCCTGCCTGGGGTCCACTCCTCAGAGCGTTCAGGACGCTGGCAGCCGGGGAGCCGGGGGGCGGGAGCATCTCCAGCTCGGTTCATACAGGCAGGAGGTATTCGCAGGAGGTACTGCGTGGACAGAGTGTCCTGTAGGTGACAGCATCTGTGGAGGCTGTCCCTAGTTTGGGCTTATCACGTGGCCCCCAGGAAGACCCCCCCGCCACCTTGGGTGGTGCTAGGCTTTTGCAGCCTCCGCCTGGGCCAGGCTGAGGACGCTGGGCAGGTCCAGGACCCCGACAAGCAGCTCCTTCCTTAGCCAGGGTTAATGAGGGGTCCTGGAGTGACCCCTGATTCACGGACACAGGGCTGGTGGCCTGCAGGCTGCCTGGGCAGGGCTGGTGTTGAATGAGCACAGCCGACTCCTGGGCGCATGGCCGGGGCGCACTTCGGGCCCGGTTTCCCCTTGAACTTGGACCTTGAAACAGATGAGCCTGGAGCCCTCCCAGGGTCTTTGAGGGGCTCTGGTCAGCTGGGCTGGGGTCTCTGGAAATGGGGCCTCCTCCAAGGACCCCCACAAGCCACCGAGACTGAGCATCCTGGCCACATGCATGCCTGAGCTGAGCAGGCGTCTCCAGGCTTCCCTGCTGGCTGAGCAGTGGCAAGAGAAGAGCTCCAGCCTCGGGGACCCTCCCCAGGCCTCAGGGACCCATGGTGAGCAGCCAGGGGAGCTGCCCAGAGGCTGGGGCTTCCTCCCAGCAGGAGCCAGAGTGGGGCTGAGTGTGAGTCAGGCTGGCTGACCGCTGGTTCCACGGACCCTGGGTCCAAGGCCCACCCTGCCCTCCAGTGGCTTTGCTGCCTAGGAAAGGTGCCAGGAGGGACTGGTCCTTCTCCTCTCCCTTCCGATTCTCAGAAGTTGCTGGGGGCAGGGGCGTCTTGGCCTTAGAGCACAGAGCTGCAAATCCTTCCTGATCCAGGCCTCTTCCCTGCCACAGCCCCTCCCCGAGAGCAAACACACGTGGCTGGCGCAGAGAAGAGCAGGGTGCCCTGCGTGGCCTGGCCTGGCTCGGGGCCACAGCTCCCTGCTACATAAGCCGGGGCCCCCAGGAGAGCAAGCACCCGGCCAGGCTCCCTCCCTGCCCGTCCGTGCCCCCACCCTCGTGCCAGCCCCAGGATGGGTGCCTGGAGCGTGTGCCGGGCGCCGGTGTGCGTCCTGGTGGCCCTGCTCATGGTGAAGCAGGCAGGTAAGGGCCCCCCACCCAGCCCCTCTGACTCCGTCTTCACAGTGGGGTCTCTGCAGGCTGCTCGCCTGGGGGCTTCTCCTGCAGCGTGGACGGACGGATCCCCTATGCCCCCACGAGTGTCCTGGATGGGACCCTATGTGTCCCCAACACAAGGCTCCTGGGCCCCACTGCTCACAGTGTCAGGGAACCCGGGAGCTGGCTTGGATGGGGTGTCAGGAGAAGTCGGTCCCCTGACTGAGAAGCAGGGCCCCTGGGAGACCACCGAGGGGGTCCTGGCCTTGGGGGTAGAACAGGAGTTGGCACGGGGGGCGGAGGCCACGGCTGAGGGTCTCTCTGGGGTCCTATGAGGCCCAGGCATGAGTGAGCAGGACCTGCCCAGGACAGGCTCTGCCCTCCATGACTGGTCTGGGGGTTACAGCTGGCAGGGCAGCTGAGGCACCGTCCTCTGGACTGCACAGCCAGCTGTGAGAGCCCCGGCCTGAACCCAGGCCCGACTCCCGTGGGGCTGTCCACGGGGCTCTCAGCCAAGTGGTTTCCCTGGCCTGCCGTTTGCCACAGCGTTAATACTGACTGTCAACAGAGAAAGACATGGCCTCGGGCCACCGGGAGACACCCTGCCCCAGGCTGCCGAAGCACCTCCCGGCCCCGCCCTCCTCCCCCTCCCAAGCTTGGGGTCTGGGCTGGGCAGGCGAGGCTCTGGGGCTCTCTCTACCTGTGGAAGGGAAGCTGGGAGGGGAGGGGATGGTCCCCTCAGGGCCCCTGACCCAAGTCCCCTTGCTGGGTGGTCAGCAGGGCGGGAGGCCAGGGGCATCCTCCAGTGGCCCCCAGTGTGGACGGAGGGAGCTGTCTCTGACCACAAAATTTGGGCGCTGGATTGACCAGAATAGCCATGTCTTCTAGACCGGCTCTTCGGGGCCATGCAGCCTGGGCCCCCCTCTCCTGAGCAGGGAGGCCAGGGCCTGTCAGCCCACTGGGCCCCACGCACATCCAAGCTGCGGGGTTGAGCCCTCTGCAGGGACGGTGCTCTAGTCTTGAGATGCACATCCTGTGGTCAGGGCAAGGCGGGCCCTGCACAGAGCGGCTTCATGTTAAGGGACACACCCCAGGGTGACGGGGTGGGGCCTGGTGGTGGGCACTTCTCTGGCTGAAAGGTGGACGACCAGGTGGCCCAGACCAAGGAGGGTGCCACACAGAGCAGATGCCCAGGGTCGGTCAGCCTGGGTGGGGCAAGGGCTGCCTGGGTCACAGAGGGGCCACCTGGGGCAGGCGCCATGGGTGGCAGTGTCCGGGCTGGGCCACACTCGTGGGCAGGGCTGTGGGCTGGGGGTCGGGTGGAGGACACAGGGCTTCCGGAGCCAGCCCCTGTGGTAGTTCCCAGATGTCAGCAGGACCAGGCTGGGAAGGCCAGGCAGGGTGTGAGCCGCCGGCCACCGGCCCGTCAGGCACAGCTCACACCACAGTTGCTGGCACCTCGCTGAGCCCTGACCTTGCTGTAGGGACTGAGGCCGCACCTCCCACGTCCCCACGGAAGTACAGGCCTGGGCTGGGCCCTCTCCTGCCTCCCCATGGAGCACGGACCTGGGTTGGGCTGTTCTCAGACTGGGCTCCAGAGGGGACCTCTGGGGACCCGGGAAGGAAGCGCCCCAACCCTAACTGGGCAGACAGGCCTGGAGGTCGGGGGGCCTCAGAGTCCTGGGCGGGCAGCTGCCTCTTTCCAGGGCTCTCTGCTTAGAGTCCAGCCTCCACGGGGCCAGCGGGTGAGGCCGTGCACGGAGGCAGTGGGCAGCCCAGGCGACCATGGGCGGCCGTCACAGCATCCACGGCCACATCGCTTGCTCCACCCTGAGGCCTGCCCCCGCCCGCCCCTCTCACCCTGACTTGGGGTTCGAGCTCGAAACTCGTTCTGGGCTTAGGTTTCTGCTAAGTCACGCCTGGAAGGCTCCGGCTGTGTCTTCCCAACAAAGGGAGTCTTTGTGGTTCTTCAGGGACGCCTGGGATGGGGCTGAATCCCCCTGGGGCGGCCAACGCCTTTTCCTGATTCCATCTTCCTCCCCCATTGCTTGAGGAGGCAGCAGCCCCACATGTCCCTCAGGGAGAGTGGGGGTCACCGGACAGGTGCAGGGGCCGCTGCTGGAAGCTTCCACCCTGCAGGTTTTCCATAGCACTGAGTGGCAGGGGAGGCATCTGTGGTTGCTGGTTGGGGTTGCCTGAGCGTCTGGCGAAGAGTCCTGGCCTTGGCCAGAGTGTGCCGCAGGGGAGCCTGAAGGGCGTGGAGACCCCACCTCGGACCCCACATGAGGCTGCCACACCAGTGATGTGGCCAGGTCCATGGCCAGGTTCGTGGCTGGCAGCCACATCTGGTTCCACACTGACTCCCATCCCCTCTTCCTTTAGAGACCCAGAGCCCTGCGGAGCCGAGTTGGGGGAGCTCAGGGTACAGCACAGACGGTGGTACGTGGCCGGACTCAGGTGGTGGGTTCCTGACCGGGCTGGAGGGGCTGGGATTCGGGCTGGGGCAGGCTGACACCTCTCCACGCAGCCATGAGTCCCACAGAGACCCTCCGTGGGTCCCCTGCCAGGGACAGTGCTGGCCTGAGGCGGGGCTGGGTGCTCCAAAGAGGAAAGTGCAGAGCAGAGAGATGTGCACACGCACACACACACACGTACGCAGACACGCACACACACATGCATGCAGACACGCACACACACATGCACGCAGACATGCACACACACACGCACACAGGCACACACACACACGCAGCCACATGCACATGCATGCATGCACACGGCACACACACAAGGCACACATGAACACAGGCACATGCACACACACGCACACACACACACAAGGCACATGCAAACAGACACATGCACACACATGCATGCACACATGCACAAGGCACACACGAACACAGGCACACACATGCACACACACACGCACCTGCACACACACATGTACACAGGCACACACACATATGCACACACATGCACACAGGTGTACACACATGCACATGCACAGATACGCACAAGGCACACATGCACACAGGCACACACATGAACACACAGAGGCACACACATGTGCACACACAGAGACATGCACAAGGTGCACACATACACAGACACACACATGCACACAAGCACATGCACACACATAAGGCACACACACGTGCATACAGGCACCTACAATCAGGCACCCACATATGCACACACACAGACCACACACCGCACACACACACACACACACAGGCACACACACACAGGCCAAAACACAAGAGCAGCAGTATTTCTGGGGTGGATGGGTCCAAGGGGTGAAGGAGCTGCCTTGTCTCCAGCCGGTCAGTGTTGGGCTCCCCTTCAACTCTGGGGGCTGGCGAGGAGGGTAGGGCCCGGAAGTGTGTCTCTGCTACCCCTTCCTGGCTAGGTTCCCGGGGTGACCAGCCCTCACCCACAGGCTCCGTGGCGTCTGCGTCCGCCCGGCGTGTGAGCTTTGTTCCACCCGTCACCGTCTTCCCCAGCCTGAGTGGTAAGCAGACGCTGCCCCTGCCAGCTGCAAGGGGAGGTTTGCCAGGGCCAAGGGTAGAGGCCCAGATCTAGGGATGCAGCTGGCACCAGGTGGGGCCACAGGGCCAGGCCCAAGTCACGCGCCGCCATGGGAGGGGGAACAGGTCGCGGTCATGGAGTGAAGCAGAGGCTGCCCGGGGCAGGGCCAGGCAGCACACAGCCAGCAGCTGACAGCGGGCCTTTCCACTCCAAAGCCCGGTGCCTCGGCCCAGGGGAGGCTCCTGGGTGGGGGCTGGCGTGGGAGTAGGGGGGCTTCATCCGAGATGCCCCCCACAGCCCTGAACCCGGCACACAACGGGCGTGTGTGCAGCACGTGGGGTGACTTCCACTACAAGACCTTCGACGGCGACGTCTTCCGCTTCCCCGGCCTCTGCAACTACGTGTTCTCCGAGCACTGCGGCGCCGCCTACCAGGACTTCAACGTGCAGCTGCGCCGAGGCCTGGCGGGCTCCAGGCCTGTGGTCACCCGTGTTGTCATCAAGGCCCAGGGGCTGGTGCTGGAGGTGTCCAATGGCTCTATCCTGCTCAACGGGCAGCGGTGAGCTGGCCTCCCCGGGGAAGGCCGAGGGCCGGGCCACACGATGCCACCTCCCCCGGCGGCTGTGTCTGACCTGTGCCAGGGCCGGGGCAGGATTGGGCTGGCGGGCAGCTGGGAGGGCCGGGCCCAGGGAGAGACCCTGCTGTCTGTGCAGGGAGGAGCTGCCCTACAGCCGCACTGGCCTCCTGGTGGAGCGGAGCGGGGACTACATCAAGGTCAGCGTCCGGCTAGTCCTGACCTTCCTGTGGAACGGAGCGGACAGCGCCCTGGTGAGGAAGCCCCTTGCCCCTCGTCCTCCAGACCAGGCCACGAAACCCCCACAGGGAGTCGAAGGATGCCTCCCTGGGCTTGGGGTCGCAGGACTTGGGGCATGTGGCCAGTGGGGGGGGATCAGAGACCCTGAGGCTGGAGCTGCCCCTCCCCCATTCTCAGCTGGAGCTGGACTCCAAATACGCCAACCAGACCTGCGGCCTGTGTGGGGACTTCAACGGCCTCCCGGCCTTCAACGAGTTCTATGCCCACAGTGAGTGCCACTGGGCAGAGGGGGTGGCGGCCGATTATGCTGGCCAACCAAGGACCACAGTTCCGGGGAGGAGGGAGGGGGCAGCACAGGGACCGGGCAGCAGGCAGGGAGGGGCCACAAGGGCTGTGGTCCTGGTCGGGGGAGGGGTGCCCCTGGGGCCACTGGCCTCAGGCACGAGCCGGAGTCCTCTGGCCTGGCCCCAGGAAGTGGGAGCCCAGACCCTGTCCCCAGGAGCCCCTCAGAGCCGCCACACCATGACCCATGCTTCTTCCCGCAGACACCAGGCTGAGCCCTCTGCAGTTTGGGAACCTGCAGAAGCTGGATGGGCCCACAGAGCTGTGCCCGGACCCGCTGCCCTCGCCGGCCAACAATTGCACGGATGAGGTGGGCTCTGCTCCTGGGCAGGGACGGCCTCCAGGTGCAGGGGCAGCCGGGCTGAGGTCTGAGGAATGTCCCCAGCTGACCAGGAGGGATGGTGGTGTCAGAGGGGTCCAGGCAGCCATGCTCTGTGTGCTCAGTTCCACGGCACACGCCGTCCACGTGTGGTGACATGCGTGTTCCTAGGGCCACATGTGTGCCCATCTGTGTGAGTGAATACAGGCCACACCACACGGGCTGGGCTGAGGGCGGGCCCTTGGGGAGCCCCGAGCAAGCCCTTCCCACCAGCAGGGGAACTCAGAAGGGGCCTGGAGGCTCCAGGAAGCCCAAACCAGCAGGATCTCTTAGCCTTCAATCGTACCACGAGTGAGAGCATCAGCCCTCACTGGGGAGCGGGGACCCACAGCTGGAGACCCGGGGCCTGGGGACAGAGGACACTCACCGCTGGGCTGCCCTGAACCGGCTGAGCTGCCCAGAGAGGCAGGGCCTCCACCCCCCTTTCTAGGAGCTGCCTCCCGGGGCCGGGTCCACGCCTTTCTCGGGCACTCACTCCAAGGCAGGCACATCCTGGTGGGGGCCCAGAGTCAGGGGTTGCTCCCTGAGGGCCAAGCAGGGCTCTGTGCTGGCAGCTGTGAGGCCACAGCGGGTGGATGGGGTGGGGCTGTGTACCAGGGGCCCTGAGGGGGAGAGGCCTTCCGGGCCTGGCCTGGCCTGGGTCCTGTTCCAGCGCTGTGGCAGCCCTGGTGAAGGACAGGGGTGCCCAGCCTGGCCCACTGTGTTCCCCAGGAGGGCATCTGCCGCCACACCCTGCTGGGGTCGGCCTTTGCGGAGTGCCAGGCACTGGTGGACAGTGCCGAGTACCTGGCCGCCTGCACCCAGGACCTGTGCCACTGCCCCACCTGCCCGTGTGCCACCTTTGCGGAATACTCGCGCCAGTGTGCCCATGCGGGTGGCCAGCCACAGAACTGGAGACGCCCCGACCTCTGCCGTGAGTGCCCATGGGCCTTCGCCAGGGATTGCGCTGGGGAGAAGGGGCAGGGGGAGTGCCTCAGTGGCCACAGTGGGGTGGGGAAGCCTGGGGGATGGGGGTTGAGGGCAGAGGAGCCCCCTTGGGCATAGTGGGCAGAGGCTACCCCAGGACCCCAAGAGGGGGTGGGGCCTCCGGGGGCTGCAGGAGCAGGAGAGACTGCACAGGAGGTGGTGGGGGTGGGGCCGGAGGGTAGACCTCACAACCATCCCGGGACCCAGCTCTGGCTTCTGCAGACTTGATGGCATGCGGAAGGTGGTGGCAGGAGGCTGGAGGAGCTGACCACGTGGACGGCGTGGGTCCCTCCCCGGCTCAGCCCCACCTCCTTCCCCGCAGCCCAGACCTGCCCCCTCAACATGCAGCACCAGGAGTGCGGCTCGCCCTGCGCGGACACCTGCTCCAACCCCCAGCGCGCGCAGCTCTGCGAGGATCACTGCGTGGACGGCTGCTTCTGCCCCCCAGGCAGGTCCCGGGTGCCCTGGGCGCCCCCCGGGGGCTTTCGGGTCTCTGCTCCCAACCCCGCCCCCAGCCTTATCAGGCCCAGATCAGAGCCCCTCATGCCAGAAAGTCCCACCCAGGGACCCAGGGCAGGGGCGGGTACTGGCTGGACGGTGCCGGACGACTGGCCGATGCGTGGAGGGAGGCAGAGCCCTGCCACGAGCCACCTGGGCCTGGTGGGGAAACCGAGGCCCAAATGTGCTTGGTGCTCATCCAAGTGGGTGGGGCTCAAGGCGGGGGTGGTGTCCTGCTGCAGGACTTCTTCCTGGAGGGAGGCAGCGCGTCCCCAAGGCAGGGGGTCTTCTGACCTCAGAGTGCCCCATGCACGGGCCAGCCCTGACTCACTCCCCGTCCCACAGGCACGGTGCTAGATGATGTTACGCACTCCGGCTGCCTGCCCCTCGAGCAGTGCCCCTGCACCCACAGCGGCCGCACCTACAGCCCAGGTGCTTCCTTCAACACCACCTGCAGCTCCTGGTATGCACCCGACAGCCTGGGGTCGGGGCGTGGAGGGTAGGGCCTGCCTCCTCCCCGCTCGTTCCGCTCACGGCCTCCCTCCACAGCACCTGTGCTGGGGGGCTGTGGCAGTGCCAGGATCTGCCGTGTCCGGGCACCTGCTCCGTGCAGGGCGGAGCCCACATCTCCACCTACGACGAGAAACTCTACGATCTCCACGGTGACTGCAGCTATGTCCTGTCCAAGGTCTGGCTTCGGGGCAGGGTCTCCAGACACCCAGCCTCTCCAGGGGACCCTCACGGCCATTCTGCCCAGGGGAGGCCCCCACGATGGCCATAGTGGGTGGATCTCTCTGCTGAGGGGGAGCCCTGGGTCCCCACAATGGACATAAAGGGCGGATCTCCCTGCTGAGCGGTACGGGGTCAAGGAGCCCCCAGGCCCTGAGACAAGCTGCTGGGAGGTGACCAGAGGGGCCAAGCGCACCTCCCCGCAGAGCCACATCCCCCACAAGGGCGTCCCCAGCACACTTCTGGGGGCACCCCACATTGAGCCAGGCCCAATGCATGCGTGGGTCCCTCCCCAGCAATGTGCTGACGGCAGCTTCACGGTGCTGGCTGAGCTGCGAAAGTGTGGCCTCACGGACAACGAGAACTGCCTCAAAGCAGTGACGCTCAACCTGGACGGCAGGGACACGGTGAGGAGCCGGCCGCGGCCCTGGGCTGGGGCGCGAAGGGGCGTTTGAAGGCGTGCGTTGAGCAAGTGCGGTCAGAGCTCCCCTCCAGCCGCAGGGCCGGGCAGCCCCTCCTGGCGGGCAGCTGCAGAGCCCACCGCAGGCCCAGGCCTGAGCTTCTCTGTGGGCTCTGACCCCGCGGTGGCCCCCGGGCAGGCCACCCCCTCATGTGAGAGTCGGGAACGGGTTCCTCCCCAGAGCTGACCTGCCGCCCGCCTCCTCCCGGCAGGCCATCCGGGTCCAGGCGGACGGCGCGGTGTTCATGAACTCCATCTACACGCAGCTGCCCCTGTCGGCAGGTACGCAGCTCCCCCGGGACGGCCAGGCCGGGCGGCGCCTCCCAGAGAGGCGGCTCCCACAGCCTGTGCGGTGTTGGCTCAGCCCCCTGCCAGCTCTCCATGGCCTCAGGCAGCTCCAGGAGCTCATCGGCTTCTCATCGGCTGAGTGGGGATGCCAGGTTCCTACCCAGGCTGCGGCGGGGACCCCACATCCGGCTCGCTGAGCCCGTCTCTCAGGGATCCTGAACCCGCTTGGCGGCCACAGGCGCAGGGCAGAGCAAGGGCTCCTGCCCACTCCCGGGTCTCAGCGGGGTGGCCCGGCCCGCTGGATGCCCTGGCCCTCCGATCTGGCCCTATCTGGCCCCGCAGCCCTGACCGGCCTCTCCTCCACACTCCCCGCAGCCAACATCACCCTGTTCCGGCCCTCCAGTTTCTTCGTCGTGGTGCAGACGGGCCTGGGGCTGCAGCTGCTGGTGCAGCTGGTGCCTCTCATGCAGGTGTTCGTCCGGCTGGACCCCGCCCACCAGGGCCAGATGTGCGGTGAGGCTGGGCAGGAGCCTTCGGTGGGTGCGGGGCCTGGACTAGTGCCAGGCTGCAGGGAGGGGGCAGGCAGAGGCGGGCAGGGGGCCGGGGAGAGGGCTGCTCCCAGGGCCCGGCAGAGACCCTGGTGCTGGCGCAGGACACCAGCATCTGACCGGTGCCCCAGAAGTGGCCGGGAGGAGGAAGGCAGCCCTGCCCTGGCTCATGCTGGCTCTGCACAGGGGCCGGACCCCCGGGGCTTATCTGCAGATGGTTCTGGAAGCAGAATCCAGGGACCGGGCTCTGGGCCGTTCTGCCCTGTGTGGCGCCTGGAGCGCCGGCAGGGGCCAGGAGCCGGTGGGTCCGACAGCAGCCACTGACATCCCCCAACACTGGCCCCCAGGCCTGTGTGGGAACTTCAACCAGAACCAGGCTGACGACTTCACGGCCCTCAGCGGGGTGGTGGAAGCCACGGGTGCAGCCTTTGCCAACACCTGGAAGGCCCAGGCCACCTGTGCCAATGCCAGGAACAGCTTCGAGGACCCCTGCTCCCTCAGTGTGGAGAATGGTACCCCTTGCTCCCACCCCCACAGTCACCCCAGGCTCAAGTGCCACCTAGCACCTTCCTGTCCCCTGGGCCACGGGAACCCCTGGGCGGGATTGGGGACCCCATGGAGGCAGGTGGGAGGCATCAGGAGGTATGTGCTTGGTGCCAGGTGGCTGGGACCCCCAAGGCGCAGCACGTGAGCCTCCAAATTCCAACTCACCGTTCCCAGGGCTGAGGGCGCGAAGGCCTGTGTGTGTGTCGGGGGTGGGCCGTGGGCTTCGGGGCAGGTCACGGAGATGGCGCCGGGTCTTCCCCGCAGATAACTACGCCCGGCACTGGTGCTCGCGGCTGACGGACCCCGCCGGCGCCTTCTCGCCCTGCCACTCCATCATCAACCCCAAACCCTTCCACTCGGTGAGAGGCCGCGAAGCAGCCCCCCAGGACTGCGCAGGGCGGGTGGGGAGCCATGGTGGGCTGGGGTCCCTGACGCCCCCCTCCCCGCAGAACTGCCTGTTTGACACCTGCAACTGTGAGCGCAGCGAGGACTGCCTGTGTGCCGCCCTGTCCTCCTACGTGCTCGCCTGCGCCGCCAAGGGCGTGCGGCTCAGCGGCTGGAGGGACGGCGTCTGCAGTGAGTGCCCGCGGGGTGGAGGTGTCGCGCTGCGTGGGGGCGCGGGGGCCCTGGGCGGCGGCACCTGTCACCCACGCGGTTCTCAGCCCCCAGCTTTGTCCTCCGCATCCCAGCCTCGCGAGAACCTCAAACCCTCGTGATCTCTGAGTCACAGACGGGGACGCAGCGTTGAGGATGGCGCGAGTGGGGGGGTCGGCCGGGCTGCCCGGCCACTGACCTGTCCCCCCGACTCCCAACCGCAGCCAGGTACATGCAGAGCTGCCCCGAGTCCCAGCGCTACGCCTACGTGGTGGACGCCTGCCAGCCCACCTGCCGCGGCCTGAGCGAGGCTGATGTCACCTGCGGCGTCGCCTTTGTGCCTGTGGACGGCTGCGCCTGCCCCTCCGGCACCTTCCTCAACGACGCGGGTGCCTGTGTGCCCGCCCGGGAGTGCCCCTGCTACGTTCACGGCACCGTGCTGGCCCCCGGGGAGGTGGTGCATGAGGAGGGCGCCGTGTGGTAAGAGCCGGCCGGGGACCGGGTCCCAGGTGCTCCTCGAAGCCACCACCCGCCCTCCCTGGGCAGACAGGGGCCTCCCGCTGAACTTCCGCTCCACACCCGAAGCCTTCTGCGCCTCCCCTGAGGGTTCTGAGACACGAGGGGCCAGGCTGGGGAGGGCGGCACAGGGTGGGCCCAGCATGTTCTGAAGAGAAAATTCCCGGCCGGGAGAGAGGCCGGGAGAATGCCTGCTGGCTGTTCTCACCTTGAATGGCAGCCCCTGCCGGGAAAGGGGGGACAGCCCCCACTCTCACCCTGGCCTCAAAGGCCGCTCCCAACCCCAGGGTCCCGACTGCCTGGTCACCCATCCGTGTGTATTTGCCCACGAGCCTCCGAGGGACTTGGGGTCTCCCACAGAACCCGGCGGCAGGCACCAGCTGGCCTTACAAGGAGGCGGCCGGGCTGGGGAGCTCAGCGGGGGCTCGGGAGCCCAGGGTGGGGTCTGTGGGGTGCAGGCCGCAGGTCCAGGCTGTGCGGTCCATCTCTCTCAGCTCGTGTGCAGGCGGGAAGCTGAGCTGCCTGGGAGCCACCCTGCAGAGAAACACAGGTAGGCGCCTGCCCCGCCCCACCTGAGCCCCACCCAGCCATGCCACACCCCGCCCAGCCCAGCCCCGCCCCACCTGAGCCCCACCCAGCCATGCCACACCCCGCCCAGCCCCGCCCCGCCCCACCTGAGCCCCACCCAGCCATGCCACACCCCGCCCAGCCCAGCCCCGCCCCACCTGAGCCCCACCCAGCCAAGCCACACCCCACCCAGCCCAGCCCCGCCCCACCTGAGCCCCACCCAGCCATGCCACACCCCGCCCAGCCCAGCCCAGCCCCACCTGAGCCCCACCCAGCCATGCCACACCCCGCCCAGCCCAGCCCCGCCCCACCTGAGCCCCACCCAGCCATGCCACACCCCGCCCAGCCCAGCCCAGCCCCACCTGAGCCCCACCCAGCCAGATCAGTCTTCACCTGGGCCCTGCCACAGGCCCCCACGCCTAGACATGCCAGGGAAGGAGGGGCTGGTGGGTCTCTGCCCTGCAGCATGGCTGGGGTGCCTTGGGGTTGGGGGCTGCTGGTGTTGTGGAACCCTGGTTAGCTCGGTCAGCAGGACAGGCTCAGGGCCGCCCAGGGACAGTTGGGGCCGAGGCTGCCCTTCCGCAGGACCCCTCCCACCGAGCTCTTCCCCCAGGGTGCGCGGCCCCCATGGTGTACCTGGACTGCAGCAACAGCTCAGCGGGCACCCCTGGGGCCGAGTGCGTCCGGAGCTGCCACACACTGGACGTGGGCTGTGTGAGTCTTCCGGTGCTGGCCTCGGCGACTCCCCACCGCCCCGTGCTTCAGGGAGGGTGGGCAGGGAAGGGTTCCCAGCTTCCCCAGCTCCCAAGCCCAGGGCCCCGGTGGTCCTGGAGACACTGCGTGGCCGAAGGCCTAACCCCCCCACCAGAAGCTCCGCCCCGACCCGGACATTGCCCGGGGGCCCTGGGCGTGCCTTCCCGAAGGATGAGTAGCATCTGCCCCCCCGGTGTCCGGCCCTGACCTCGACCTGCCTGGGCCCACAGTTCAGCACACACTGCGTGTCCGGCTGCGTCTGTCCCCCGGGGCTGGTGTCGGACGGGAGTGGGGGCTGCATCGCCGAGGAGGACTGTCCCTGCGTGCACAACGAGGCCATCTACAAGCCTGGGGAGACCATCAGGGTCGACTGCAACACCTGGTGGGTCTTGGGTCCCTCAGAGGCAGCGGGTGGGCAGGGAGGCCAGCGGATGTGGAGGCAGGAGGCAAGGAAGGGAGGGGGTGGGGAGGGAGGGCAAGGGGGAGGAAGGGGAGAGAGTAGGGAGGGCGGGGGGAGGGCAGGCGGTGAACTGGCTGGGGTGAGGTGGGGCGGTGGCACAAGAGTTGCTAGGAAAGCCAGGGGCCATCCTGTGCGTCCTCTGGAAGGTGGCCCAGGGACTGTGGTGCTACCAGGAACCTGGTGGGGCTGCATGCCCTGAAGTCACTGTGCGGGACCACCCCTTTCACCGAGGAGGGCCAGGCTGGGCCTGGGAGGCTGAGGCTCCAGGCTGACCCGCACGGGCCCGGGTGCTGGGTCTCGGGAAGGCCGGGAGGGCAGCCCCCGTGAGCAGGCACTGTCCTGGCCCCTTGCAGCACCTGCAGGAACCGGAGGTGGGAGTGCAGCCACCGGCTCTGCCTGGGCACCTGCGTGGCCTATGGCGATGGCCACGTCATCACCTTTGACGGCGAGCGCTACAGCTTCGAAGGCAGCTGCGAGTACACCCTGGCGCAGGTACGCCGACCCCTCCCCGGCTCCCACGCTGGGCACGCTCGGGCCTGCAGTCAGCTGCTTGTCTCCTCCCGGCCCAGGACTACTGTGGGGGCAACGCCAGCCACGGGACCTTCCGCGTCATCACGGAGAACATCCCCTGTGGGACCACCGGCACCACCTGCTCCAAGGCCATCAAGCTCTTCGTGGAGGTGAGAGCGGCCCCGGCTGTGAACGCCCCCGGGCCCGCAGCCAACGAGCCGGCCCAGGGAAGCCTCATGAGTGCAGCCACACTCACGGGTTCTCAGCGGTGTCCTGACAGGGGCTGCTGTTCCAAATAGCCACAAACCACGGGGCACAGACATACATTTTCCATCCTGGAGCCAGAAGTCAGAGACGCAGGCGGGCAGCACCACGCTCCCTGGGAGGGTCTGGGGAGGTCCTTCCTGCCTCCCCCAGCATCTCAGGCTCCAGGCGTCCCGTGGCTGTGGCTGCCTGTGGCCTCCCTCTGTGTCTGTGCCTCTATTCTCTTTTTTTGGGTTTTTTTTTTTCGCTCTTCTGTCTCTGTAAGGACGCTGGTCATTGGATGTAGGGCACCCCCAGATAGTCCAGGATGATCTTATTTCAAGGTGCTTCCCTGAATCCCATCTTTAGAGATGCTTTCTCCCATGAAGGCTGCAGGCCAAGGTTCTGGGAGTTGGCATGTAAACAGACCTTTTCCAGAGCTGCCATTCACCCTGCCACACCCAGAGACACCCGGTCCAGCATGGGGGGCCAGAGCTCCCAGGGAAGAAGGCAGAGCCGCTGCCAGGGCCCTGCCAGGGGAGAAGGCAGGCCGACCGTGGTCCCTGCTCCCCGCACTTCCTGCCCAGCCTCTTGCCAAACCTTCACTGAGGGTCCCACCGACCCAGCTCATCCCGAACGCCAGCTCCCTGTGCCACGTGCACCTGCAGAGCCCTGCCCTGGGTGGGGAATCCCTGCAACTCAGGCCCCGCCCCGGGGACCACAGGGTCGGCTTCTGGCAGTGTCTGCCTCCCCTGCAGAGCTACGAGCTGATCCTCCAGGAGGGAACCTTTAAGGCGGTGGCCAGAGGGCCGGGCGGGGACCCCCCATACAGGATCCGCTACATGGGCATCTTCCTGGTCATTGAGACCCGCGGGATGGCCGTGTCCTGGGACCGGAAGACCAGCGTGTTCATCCGGCTGCACCAGGACTACAAGGTGAGCTCAGGCCGTGGCTCCCAGGCTCTGCAGGACCACCTGGCGGCCACAGAAACCTTGGTGCCAGGGGGGTCCTGTGGGACCTGCTGAGCCTGGCTGGTGAGAACCCTGCCCTCTGGCCTCCACAGTGGGCCGAAGGTTTTATAGGGAAACAGGTGCCACCCAGCGGCCCACCCAGGGACCCACTGCACCCGTCCCCTGCAAGTTTGCCGGGCACTGGCTAGGGAACCGGCTGTCCTCCCTCCGTCTCCCGAGGGCTCTGGACCCCGGGCTGGGCCCCATGCCACCTCCTGCGGGTGCCGGTGGCCCCGGCTCCAGGGCCCCACTCTCTTGGCGCCTCTGCAGGGCAGGGTCTGCGGCCTGTGCGGGAACTTCGATGGCAACGCCATCAACGACTTCACCACGCGGAGCCGGTCCGTGGTGGGGGACTCGCTGGAGTTCGGGAACAGCTGGAAGCTCTCCCCGTCCTGCCCGGACGCCCTGCCGCCCAAGGACCCCTGCACGGCCAACCCCTCCCGAAAGTCCTGGGCCCAGAAGCAGTGCAGCATCCTCCACGGCCCCACCTTCGCCGCCTGCCGCTCCCAGGTGGGGCTCTGTGCTTGGCAGACAGGGTGAAGTGGGGATGGCGGCTGCTTCCCTCCCACTGAGAGCCGGGTCTTCTGGGCACACGCCAGGGCTCCAAAGAGGGTCTGACCGTTCTCCCAGGGTACGCGGTCCTGCACGGCAGGCCCCAAGTCTGGATCTCCCGCCAGCCCCGCACCTGCACTCCCTGCCCCTGGCATGAAGCCAACTCTGCTGTCTCCCGGCCACTCCCTTGGCCACAGCCGCAGTCACACCCAGAGGCCCCAGACACCCTCCTCATCCCCAGACCTGCCCAGTTCTCAGTGCAAACTGGAAGGCCAGCCCGGCTCCCCGCCCAGCCAGGGAGGAATCAGAGATCAGCCGTAAGCAGAGAATTCCAAAAAGACAGTTTCCTGGCCGGGCGCAGTGGCTCATGCCTATAATCTCAGCACTTTGGGAAGCTGAGGTGGGTGGATCACCTGAGGTCAGGAGTTCAAGACCAGCCTGGCCAACATGACGAAACTCTGCCATACTAAAAATACAAGATTTACCCAGGCATGGTGGCATGCCTGTAATCCCAGCTACTTGGGAGGCTGAGGCAGAATAATCGCTTGAACCTGGGAGGTGGAGGTTGTAGTGACTGAGATTGCACCACTGCACTCCAGCCTGGGCAAGAAGAGTGAAATTCCGTCTCAAAACAAACAAACAAAAAACCCAAAAAACAGTTTCCTGTCATTTTAAGGAAGACTTGAGTGCCCACATAGGCACACAGCATGTGGTTCAGGGCTGAGCTGAGGGGCTGGCTTAGGGGCAGCAGTGGGCACAGTGGTGGGCACATTTGCTCATGGGAGGCCCTGGAGCACTGTCACGTCGGCTGCCGCTTGTCCCCTTGAAAAGGAAGCTGGCATCTGGGCCCAGATTCAGATGGGGCCTGGGAGGGGTGTGGGCTCTTGCCTGGAGGACACAGGCAGCTCCTCACGGTCAGGATGGGGCTAACAGCACGGCTTCCCCCGTGGCTGGTCTGGAAAGGAAGTGAGGCTGCACCGAGTCCCTGGCACCAGAAGTCACCGCTCCCTCCTTAGCGCAGGTTGACTGGGTGCCTGGAAGAGCCTCGCAAGTTCTGGGCTCACCCCGGCCATCAGGGGACAAGACCTGCCCTCACAGAACTAACTTTGGGAGGAGGCAGCAGGGTGGCGGGCGCTGGGTGGTCAGATGCCCAGGCGTGGAGAGCCCTGAGCGGGGGCCACCGCAGGGTTGGGTCAGCTGTGGGGAAGGCCCCCAGCTGGAAAGGAGGCCAGCACCACTGCCGCTGAGGGAGGTGGGGGCGAGAGCCAAGGGCGGGCAGAGGTGCTGTGCTCCATGTGGGTTTGGAAGCTGTAGGCCGCATGACCAGACCCACGTGATAAAAAAGATCCAAAGGGCACATGTGAAGGTAGGCAGAGGGGCAGCTGGACTGGTGGGCAGATGTATAGGTGGGCAGACGGGCAGGTGCACAGGTGGGCAGATGGGAAGCTACAGAGGTGGGTAGATGGACAGGTGGGCAGACGGGCAGGTGCACAGGTAGGCAGACGGGCAGGTGCACTGATGGGCAGATGGGAAGGTGCAGAGGTGGGTAGATGGACAGGTGGGCAAATGGATGGGTGCACAGGTGGGCAGATGGGCAGGTGGGCAAGTGCAGAGGTGGGTAGATGGACAGGTGGGCAGATGGGCAGATGCACAGGTGGGCAGGTGCAGAGGTGGGCAGATGGACAGGTGGCAGATGGGCATGTGGGCAGATGGGCAGATGCACAGGTGGGCAGGTGCAGAGGTGGGCAGATGGACAGGTGGGCAGATGGACGGTGCACAGGTGCACAGGTGGGCAGATGGGCAGGTGGGCAGGTGCAGAGGTGGGTAGATGGACAGGTGGGCAGATGGACAGGTGGGCAGATGGGCATGTGGGCAGATGGGCAGATGCACAGGTGGGCAGGTGCAGAGGTGGGTAGAGGGACAGGTGGGCAGATGGGCATGTGGGCAGATGGGCAGATGCACAGGTGGGCAGATGGATGGTGCACAGGTGCACAGGTGGGCATATGGGCAGGTGGGCAGGTGCAGAGGTGGGCAGATGGGCAGGTGCACAAGTGGGCAAGGATATAGCTGGTCAAGGGCACAGGTGGGCTAGGGAGGTAGTACTGGAGCAGCTCCCCTTTGGGGCAAGCTCTGAGGTACTCCAGGCCCCAAGAGTCAGGGAGCTCAGAGAGTTGCCATGGGGGGTTTGAAATGCAAATGGCTCCAGGGACTGGCCCTGGGCCAGCCGTCCCCTGGCCAGTGGGGTGTGGGAGGGACATTGGCCTGACAGCTGCACCTGGGCCTCACTCCCAGGTTGACTCCACCAAGTACTACGAGGCCTGCGTGAGTGACGCGTGCGCCTGTGACTCGGGGGGCGACTGTGAGTGCTTCTGCACGGCTGTGGCTGCCTACGCCCAGGCCTGCCACGACGCCGGCCTGTGTGTGTCCTGGCGGACTCCGGACACCTGTCGTGAGTCGGGCTCTGTCCGTGGTGCTGAAGGGTGGAGCAGCCGGGCGGGGGAGGAGGTGCAGCAGCCTCCGTAGGGGCACTGACCTGGGCCTGAGCCGCACATAGACGCCCAACATGCATGTGGCTCCATGCAAGTGTGATGTTCCCGTGCACAGAGGCAGACCTGTGTAAAACCACCAGACAGGCTGTCCCAGCACCAGACGGCTCCTGGGGGACAGGACGGGGGTTCCAAGGGCAGGGCTGGGGAGCGGAGGGGAAGGTGAGGTGCCACCTGCCTGATGCCCTGCATGTCTGGGACAAGCCCAGGTCTGGCTCTGGGGACACCGTCCCCTGTGCCAGGCGGGACTGCCCTGCACAGCAGGGGTGAGGGCCGGTGGGTGCCTCCTTAGCCTCTGTCCTCCGTGCCCCAGCCTTATTCTGTGACTTCTACAACCCACACGGGGGCTGTGAGTGGCACTACCAGCCCTGTGGGGCTCCATGCCTGAAAACCTGCCGGAACCCCAGCGGGCACTGCCTGGTGGACCTGCCCGGCCTAGAAGGTGAGGGGCAGCCTGTCCGGGATGAAACCTCCTGTCTTTGGGTTTCCGAGTGTGCTTGGGGGGGCTGGGGTTCCCCAAGGACACGGCGTAGGCTCCCATGAGCTGCACAATGCAAGCCTCCAGGGCAGGCCCCCGCTGGCTGGTGGGGGGGCGGCTACTTCTGGCAGCATGGATCCCCTGGCTCGAGAGGCTAAAGGACCCCAGTGAGTCTTTCCCTCGCCCTGCTGGCCCCAGGCTGTTACCCGAAGTGCCCTCCCAGCCAGCCCTTCTTCAACGAAGACGAGATGAAGTGCGTGGCCCAGTGTGGCTGCTACGACAAGGACGGAAACTACTATGACGTGGGGGCCAGGGTCCCCACAGCAGAGAACTGCCAGAGCTGGTGAGGGGGTGGGGAGCAGGTGCGGCTGGGGGGCAGGGCTGGGGAGCAGGCCCTGCAGGCTGTCCCCCAGGCTCTCAGCTCACCTCTCCCCTGCCCGCAGTAACTGCACACCCAGCGGCATCCAGTGCGCCCACAGCCTTGGGGGTAAGGAAGGGTCGGGGTGGGGCGGCCGAGGCCGGGGTCCGGGGCCCAGAGGCACCAGATGACTCTGTTGGCCCCATCCCCAGCCTGCACCTGCATCTATGAGGACAGGATCTATGGCTACCAGGACATCATCTACAACACAACCGATGGGCTTGGCGCCTGTCTGATTGCCATCTGCGGAAGCAACGGCACCATCGTCAGGAGAGCGGTGGCATGCCCGGGAACCCCGGCCACCACACCGTTCACCTTCACCACTGCCGTGGTCCCTGGCTCCACAACAGGTAAGTCCTGCCTGGCTCTCCTGAGGCCTGGCCACGTCTGCGTGATGAGGAGGGACCCCCTGGACACTCAGTGCAGGTGCTCTGGATGGTAGTCACAGTGGGGTACCAACTGCTGACCTGCCAGGCTCTCTGAGGGTGCACAGCTCCCAATACCCTTCGTGTCTCCAGGGGCTCCCCAGGAAGCCTCAGCACAATGATGGGTGACCTTGAGGGGACAATAAAGCTTCCCTAGATCCACCCCAGCCCTCATCACAGCCTTCCCCAGACTCTGCCCCAGCCCTCCCCAGACTGCCCCAGCCCTCCCCATGGCCTTTCTCAGCTGGTGGACTCCCTCAAGGCCAGGATGCCAGGGCCCAGTCCCTCACGCAGAAGTGGCCCTAACCCAGGCTGAGGCAGGCGCCTAGGGTCCCCAGTATCCCACAGGGGCGGGGCCAGCCCTGGGGCAAGGGTCCTCTGGGTCCCCTCCTCCTTGTGAAGCAAGGACTCCTCTCCCTTGCTTCTTGCAGGCTCAGCCCTCCCACTCTCCACCGTGTGTGTCCGTGAGGTCTGCCACTGGTCTGACTGGTACAGTGGGCACCGCCCAGAGCCAGGCCTGGGAGGCGGAGACTTCGAGACGTTTGAAAACCTGAGGCAGAGGGGGTTCCAGGTATGCGCTGAGCCGGCAGACATCGAGTGCCGGGCAGAGCAGCTTCCCGACATGCCGCTGGAGAAGCTGGGCCAGCAGGTAGACTGTGACCGCACGCGGGGGCTGATGTGTGCCAACAGCCAGCAAAGCCCCCCACTCTGCCACGACTATGAGCTGCGGGTTCTCTGCTGCGAGTATGTGCCCTGTGGTGCCTCCCCGGCCCCAGGCACCAGCATCCAGCCCTCCCTCAGTGCCAGCACAGAGCCCGCCATGCCCACCCCCACCCAGACCACAGTGACTGAACAGACCACCCTGTGGGTGACCCCGAGTGCCAGGTCGACGGTCACCAGCCCCGTCAGCAGCTCCCCGGCCCCAGCCACCACCGCCTGCCAGCCCCGCTGTCAGTGGACTGAGTGGTTTGACGAGGACTACCCCAAGTCTGAGGAGTTGGGGGGGGATGTTGAGTCCTACGATAAGATCAGGGCTGCGGGAGGGCACCTATGCAAGCAGCCAGAGGACATTGAGTGCCAGGCCGAGAGCTTCCCCAACTGGACCCTGGCGCAGGTGGGGCAGAAGGTGCACTGTGACGTCCGCTTCGGCCTGGTATGCAGGAACTGGGAGCAGGAGGGTGTGTTCAAGATGTGCTACAACTACAGAATCCGGGTCCTGTGCTGCAGTGCCGACCACTGCAGGGGACATGCCACAACCCCGCCACCCGCCACGGAGCCAGAGACGGCCACCACCACCACTACCACCCTGATCTCAACGCTGCCACCTATGAGTAGCCCAGAGGTGACCAGGGCTCCCCCGCCCACCACCACAGCAGTCCCCACCCACTCAGAAGGACAGACATCCCCTAGATACACAGGCACCCTTGTTACGGCCACCACAGGAGGCCCCACAGCTCCTGCAGGTTCCACAGAGCCCACGGTCCCACAGGTGGCCACATCTAGCTTTCCAACTCACTCAGCCCTGCCAGGGACCACGAGGAGCTCGGGCACATGGGGCCCCTCGAAGCCCCCCATGCCAACCCCAACGACAATGGCAACCTCCAGAGCTCGCCCAACAGGCACAGCCAGCACCGGCTCCAAAGAGCCACTGACCACCGGCCGGGTGCCAACACTCACGAGCCATCAGTCCACCACTCAGGCTGAGATCAGCACGCCCAGGCCAGAGACAACAACACAGGGCCCCATCACCGAGGCCACCACCAGCCAGGGCACGACCCGATGTCAGCCGAAGTGTGAGTGGACAGAGTGGTTTGACGTGGACTTCCCAACCTCGGGGGTGACAGGGGGGGACATGGAAACTTTTGAAAACATCAGGACTGCTGGGGGCAAGATGTGCTGGGCACCAGAGCGCATAGAGTGCCGGGCGGAGAACTACCCCGAGGTGAGCATCGACCAGATCGGGCAGGTGCTGACCTGCAGCCTGGAGACTGGGTTGACCTGCAGGAATGAGGACCAGACAGGCAGGTTCAACATGTGCTTCAACTACAATGTGCGTGTGCTCTGCTGTGATGACTACAGCCACTGCCCCAGCACGGCCGCCCCCACACCCACCTCCTCCACACAGGCACCCAAACCCACCTCCACAGGGGTCACCATGGGGGCTACCACCCCCACAGCCACTGCTTCCACAGCCACTGCTGCCACAGGGGCCACCACCCCCATGGCCACTGTCTCCACAGCTACTGCCACCACAGGGGCCATAACCCCCACAGCCACTGCCTCCACAGCCACTGCTGCCACAGGGGCCACCATACCCATGGCCACTGCCTCCACAGTCACTGCTACCATGGGGGCCACCACCCCTACAACTACTGCCTCCACAGCCACTGCTGCCACAGGGGCTACCACCCCCACAGCCACTGCCATCTGGAGCACCAGGTCACCAGCAGTAACAAGACCCTCAACTCTGGCCACCACTAAAACTGGCCCCACCTTCTCAAAGACCACAGAAAGGGTGTCCCTCCCCAGTCCCTCTGCCCCTCCAGCTTCCACGACCAACCTCCTCCCTACCAGGAGGCAGGAGACCTCCCAGGCTCTGACCATGCCTACCAGTCCAGCTGTGCTCAGTACCTCCACAATGTCCCCCATGGTGACCACCCCTGTGCACACGACCCTGAGGACTTCCAGCTCTGGGCACACCATAGGGACCATCCTGCCCTCCAGCTCCCCATCTCCCAGCACAGGCTGTGTGCCTCGCTGCACCTGGACAGACTGGTTGGATGAGGATTATCCCAGCCCTGGCCCTGACGGCGGGGACTTCGAGACCTACTCCAACATTCGCGCGGCCGGGGGTGCCATCTGCGAGCAGCCGCTGCGCCTCCAGTGCCGTGCCCAGGCCCAGCCTGATGTTCCTCTGCGGGAGGTGGGCCAGCTCGTGGAATGCAGCCTGGACTTCGGTCTGGTCTGCAGGAACCGTGAGCAGGTGGGGAAGTTCAAGATGTGTTTCAACTATGAAATCCGAGTGTTCTGCTGCAACTACAGCCATTGTCCCAGCACCACGGCCATCAGCTCCACGGCCACACCCTCCTCTACTCTACCTTCTACCACGGTCACCAAGACTTCGGCCACCAGCTCCATGGCCCCAGCCTCCTACACTCCGCGGACCACCTGGATCCTTACAGAGCCAACCACTACAGCCACCGTGACAATATCCACAGGCTCCACAGCCACCCCCTCCTCCACCACAGGGACAGCTCAGACTCCCACAGTGCTGACCACCACAGCCAACACAACTGTGGCTACTGGATCCACAGTCACCCCTTCCTCCACTCCGGGGACAGCTCAGACCCCCATAGCGCTGACCACGACAGCCACCACAACAGTGGCCACTGGATCCACAGCCACCCCTTCCTCCAGCCCAGGGACCACAGGCACCATTCCAGCACTTACCACCACAGCCACTACTGTGGCCACTGGCTCCATGGCAACGCCCTCCTCCAACCCACTTCCTACTGGTGTCACCACGATGGCAGCCACTGGCTCCACAGCCACCCCCTCCTTCACCCCAAAAACAGCTCACACCTCCAAATTGCTGACTACCATGGCCACAGCTTCCATGCCCACTGGCCACAGAGCCACCCCCTCCTCCAGCCCAGGGACTGCACCCACCCTTCCAAGGCTAATCACCACCACCACACCCACGACCACTGGCTCCACAGTGATGCCCTCCTCCATCTCAGGGACCACGCAAACCTCTGGAGTGCTGACCAACACCGCCACAACTGTGGCCACTGGCTCCATCATCACGCCCTCCTCCACTCCAGGGACCACTCGTACATCCCTAGTGCTGACCACCACGGCCACCACACATGGGCGATCCCTGCCCCCCAGCAGTCCCAGCACGGGTCCTAAGGCCTGGACTTCCATGGGCACCCTGGGGACCACTCACATCACAGAGCCCTCCACGGTAACTTCCCACACCACAGCAGGAAACACAGGTACCACCACACACTCCACTCCTGCCGTGTCCAGTCCTCACCCTCACGGCAGGACCACTGAGCCACCCCCTTCTCCGGGAAAGACCACCCCAGGCCTCACCACAGCCACCTCCAGAGAGACCCAGACCTCGACCCTGCTGCCGGGAAGTCCCACATCGGCCCCCACAACCCTGGTGGTGTCCACGGGCTGTGAGCCCCGGTGTGCCTGGTCGGAGTGGCTGGACTACAGCTACCCCACGCTGGGGCCGTCCGGCGGGGACTTCGAGACCTACTCCAACATCCGCGCGGCCGGGGGAGCCGTCTGCGAGCAGCCGCTGCGCCTCCAGTGCCGTGCCCAGGCCCAGCCTGATGTTCCCCTGCGGGAGGTGGGCCAGCTCGTGGAATGCAGCCTGGACTTCGGTCTGGTCTGCAGGAACCGTGAGCAGGTGGGAAAGTTCAAGATGTGTTTCAACTATGAAATCCGAGTGTTCTGCTGCAACTACAGCCATTGTCCCAGCACCATGGCCACCAGCTCCACGGCCACACCCTCCTCCACTCTACCTTCTACCACGGTCACCAAGAACTCTGCCACCAGCTCCATGGCCACGGCCTCCTTCACTCCAAGAACTGTGGTAATTCCTACCACAGTCACCAAGACTTCAGCCACCAGCTCCATGGCCACGGTCTCCTCCACTCCACGGACCACCTGGATCCTTACAGAGCCAACCACTACAGCCACCGTGACTGTGTCCACGGGCTCCGCAGCCACCCCTTCCTCCACCATAGGGACTACTCAGACCCCCATAGCGCTGACCACGACAGCCACCACAATTGTGGCCACTGGATCCACAGCCACCCCCTCCTTCACCCCCAAAACAGCTCACACCTCCAAAATGCTGACTACCATAGCCACAGCTTCCATGCCCACTGGCCCCAGAGCCATCCCCTCCTCCAGCCCAGGGACTGCACCCACTCTTCCAGTGCTAATCACCACCACCACACCCACGACCACTGGCTCCACAGTGATGCCCTCCTCCATCCCAGGGACCATGCAAACCCCCGGAGTGCTGACCAACAACACCACAACTGTGGCCAATGGCTCCAGGGCAACAACCACCACAACCCCACAGACTGCTGGTCCTCCCACAACAATGACCACCATGGCCACCAGGCTCACAGCCACTGGCTCCATCATCACGCCCTCCTCCACTCCAGGGACAACTCCCACCCCCCGAGTGCTGACCACCACAGCCACCACACCTGCAGCCAGCAGCACCCCAGCAACTCCCTCTTCTGCCCCAGGGACCACTCCTACATCCCTAGTGCTGACCACCACGGCCACCACACATGGGCGATCCCTGCCCCCCAGCAGTCCCAGCACGGGTCCTAAGGCCTGGACTTCCATGGGCAGCCCGGGGACCACTCACATCACAGAGCCCTCCACGGTAACTTCCCACACCACAGCAGGAAACACAGGTACCACCACACACTCCACTCCTGCCGTGTCCAGTCCTCACCCTCACGGCAGGACCACTGAGCCACCCCCTTCTCCGGGAAAGACCACCCCCGGCCTCACCACAGCCACCTCCAGGACCACAGCCACCTCCAGAGAGACCCGACCCTTGACCCTGCTGCCGGGAAGTCCCACATCGGCCCCCACAACCCTGGTGGTGTCCACGGGCTGTGAGCCCCGGTGTGCCTGGTCGGAGTGGCTGGACTACAGCTACCCCACGCTGGGGCCGTCCGGCGGGGACTTCGAGACCTACTCCAACATCCGCGCGGCCGGGGGAGCCGTCTGCGAGCAGCCGCTGCGCCTCCAGTGCCGTGCCCAGGCCCAGCCTGATGTTCCTCTGCGGGAGGTGGGCCAGCTCGTGGAATGCAGCCTGGACTTCGGTCCTGGTCTGCAGGAACCGTGAGCAGGTGGGAAAGTTCAAGATGTGTTTCAACTATGAAATCCGAGTGTTCTGCTGCAACTACAGCCATTGTCCCAGCACCACGGCCACCAGCTCCACGGCCACACCCTCCTCTACTCTACCTTCTACCATAGTCACCAAGACTTTAGCCACCAGGTCCATGGCCAGGGCATCCTCCACTCCACAGACCACCTGGATCCTTACAGAGCCAACTGCTACAGCCACCGTGACTGTGTCCACGGGCTCCACAACCACCCCCTCCTCCACCACAGGGACAGCTCAGACTCCCATAATGCTGACCACGACAGCCACCACAATTGTGGCCACTGGATCCACAGCCACCCCTTCCTCCAGCCCAGGGACCACAGGCACCATTCCAGCACTTACCACCACAGCCACTACTGTGGCCACTGGCTCCATGGCAACGCCCTCCTCCAACCCACTTCCTACTGGTGTCACCACGATGGCAGCCACTGGCTCCACAGCCACCCCCTCCTTCACCCCAAAAACAGCTCACACCTCCAAATTGCTGACTACCATGGCCACAGCTTCCATGCCCACTGGCCACAGAGCCACCCCCTCCTCCAGCCCAGGGACTGCACCCACCCTTCCAAGGCTAATCACCACCACCACACCCACGACCACTGGCTCCACAGTGATGCCCTCCTCCATCCCAGGGACCACACAAACCTCTGGAGTGCTGACCAACAACACCACAACTGTGGCCACTGGCTCCAGGGCAACACCCTCCACCACCCCACAGACTGCTGGTCCTTCCACAACAATGACCACCATGGCCACCAGGCTCACGGCCACTGGCTCCATCATCACGCCCTCCTCCACTCCAGGGACAACTCCTATCTCCCGAGTGCTGACCACCACAGCCACCACACCTGCAGCCAGCAGCACCCCAGCAACTCCCTCTTCTGCCCCAGGGACCACTCCTACATCCCTAGTGCTGACCACCACGGCCACCACACATGGGCGATCCCTGCCCCCCAGCAGTCCCAGCACGGGTCCTAAGGCCTGGACTTCCATGGGCAGCCCGGGGACCACTCACATCACAGAGCCCTCCACGGTAACTTCCCACACCACAGCAGGAAACACAGGTACCACCACACACTCCACTCCTGCCGTGTCCAGTCCTCACCCTCACGGCAGGACCACTGAGCCACCCCCTTCTCCGGGAAAGACCACCCCCGGCCTCACCACAGCCACCTCCAGGACCACAGCCACCTCCAGAGAGACCCGACCCTCGACCCTGCTGCCGGGAAGCCCCACATCGGCCCCCACAACCCCGGTGGTGTCCACGGGCTGTGAGCCCCGGTGTGCCTGGTCGGAGTGGCTGGACTACAGCTACCCCATGCTGGGGCCGTCCGGCGGGGACTTCGAGACCTACTCCAACATCCGTGCGGCCGGGGGAGCCGTCTGTGAGCAGCCGCTGCGCCTCCAGTGCCGTGCCCAGGCCCAGCCTGATGTTCCTCTGCGGGAGGTGGGCCAGCTCGTGGAATGCAGCCTGGACTTCGGCCTGGTCTGCAGGAACCGTGAGCAGGTGGGGAAGTTCAAGATGTGTTTCAACTATGAAATCCGAGTGTTCTGCTGCAACTACAGCCATTGTCCCAGCACCACGGCCACCAGCTCCACGGCCACACCCTCCTCTACTCTACCTTCTACCATAGTCACCAAGACTTCGGCCACCAGCTCCATGGCCACCCCCTCCTCCACTCTACCTTCTACCACAGTCACCAAGAACTCTGCCACCAGCTCCATGGCCACGGCCTCCTTCACTCCAAGAACTGTGGTAATTCCTACCACAGTCACCAAGACTTCAGCCACCAGCTCCATGGCCACGGTCTCCTCCACTCCACAGACCACCTGGATCCTTACAGAGCCAACCACTATAGCCACCGTGACTGTGTCCACGGGCTCCTCAGCCACCCCTTCCTCCACCATAGGGACTACTCAGACCCCCATAGCGCTGACCACGACAGCCACCACAATTGTGGCCACTGGATCCACAGCCACCCCCTCCTCCAGCCCAGGGACCACAGGCACCATTCCAGCACTTACCACCACAGCCACTACTGTGGCCACTGGTTCCATGGCCATGCCCTCCTCCACCCCACTTCCTACTGGTGTCACCACGACGGTGGCCACTGGCTCCACAGCCACCCCCTCCTTCACCCCAAAAACAGCTCACACCTCCAAAGTGCTGACTACCATGGCCACAGCCTCCATGCCCACTGGCCCCAGAGCCACCACCTCCTCCAGCCCAGGAACTGCACCCTCCCTTCCAAGTCTGATCACCACCACCACACCCACGACCACTGGCTCCACAGTGATGCCCTCCTCCATCCCAGGGACCACGCAAACCTCTGGAGTGCTGACCAACACCGCCACAACTGTGGCCACTGGCTCCAGGGCAACACCCTCCACCACCCCACAGACTACTGGTTCTCCCACAGCACTGACCACCATGGCCACCACGCTCATGGCCACTGGCTCCATCATCACTTCCTCCTCCACTCCAGGGACAGTTCCCATCCCCCGAGTGCTGACCACCACGGCCACCACACCTGCAGCCAGCAGCACCCCAGCAACTCCGTCTTCTGTCCCAGGGACCACCCACACACCCTCAGTGCTGACCACCATAGCCACCACGGCTGTGGCCACCAGCTCCATGGCTACTCCCTCCTCCACTCCAGGGACCACCTGGATCCTCAAAGAGCCAACCACTACAACCACCATGACCACATCCAGGGGCTCCACAACCACTCTGCCCTCCAGTTTAGGGACTGTGGTAATTCCTACCACAGCCACCACAATGGCGGCCACTGGCTCTGTGGTCACTGGCTCTGCAGCCACCCCGTCCTCTACCCCAGGGACTGCTCAGACCCGCAATGTCATTCCTACCACAACCAGTACTACTACAGCCACTGGTGCCATGGCCACACCCTCTTCCAGCCCAGGGACTGCTCAGACCCCCGAAGTGTTGACTACGACAGTGACCACCAGCTCCACGGGCACACCCTCCTCCATCTCAGGGACCACCTGGATCCTCACAGAGCCGACCACTACAGCCACCATTATTTCTTCCATGGGCTCCACAACCGCCTTGTCCTCCACTTCAGGGACCGTGGTAATTCCTACCACAGCCACCACAACTGCGGCCACTGGCTCCAAAACCACTCTCTCCTCCAGCCCAGGGACTACAAGCACCATTTCAGTGCTGAGCACCACAGCCACCACGAACAGATCCATGGCCACCCCCTCCTTCCACTGTAGGGACAGCTCACACCCCCAAAGTGCTGACCACCACAGCCACCATACCCACAGCCACCAGCTCCACAGTGCCCAGCTCATCTGCCCTCAGGACCATCCGAACCCCCACAGTGCTCCCCAGCAGCCTGCCCACCTTCAATATGACCACTGCGTCCACCTCGGTCCTCACCACCCTCATGCCCACTGGCTTCCCCAGCACCCACTTCTCAACTCCGTGCTTCTGTAGGGCATTTGGACAGCTCTTCTCACCTGGTGAGTCGATGTGGATGATGCCCCTGTGCCCTTTCCCCTGTGCCATACCAACCTGAGTCTCCCTGTCCGGGGAGCCAGTTGCTCTCTCCCTGCCAGCCACTCTATCCCCACCGGCCTCACCCTGTCCCCACTGGCCTTATTCAGTCTCCGCTCTCCCTGGCCCCCTCCCTGAATGGCCACTCCCTCCGGCACTGACCCCTGCCTTTGCCATCCCAAACTCTGGCTTGCCTGTCGCTGGGAGTGGCTTATCTTCCTGTCTTGTCCCCCACAGGGGAGGTCATCTACAATAAGACTGACCGAGCAGGCTGCCAGTTCTATGCCGTGTGCAACCAGCATTGTGACATTGACCGCTTCCAGGGCCCCTGCCCCACCTCCCCACCGCCAGTGTCCTCCACCTCCCCACCCCTGCCCTCCCCTGCCCCCGGCTGTGACAACGCTGTCCCTCCACGGCAGGTGCGTCCCACCTGCCCTCCGCCTCCCCTGCTATGCACACAGGGCCTGGGTTTGCTCAGGCACAGCCAGGGCCCAGCCCCCAAGGCCTGTCTCAGGGACCCTCCACCCGTAGCTCCAGTTGGAGGAGGCGCACAGGGTCTGGGGGGCCGGGCCAACACGGTGGGGGCACCGTCTCTGGGCAGACTCTTGTGGCCACCTGGGGCTGTGTACCACGGGGGACGGGATGACCAGGGGATGCGTCCCGTGGACCGGTCCCGGTGAGCACACGCCTGTTCCCTGCCACAGGTCAATGAGTCCTGGACCCTGGAGAACTGCACTGTGGCGCAGTGCGTGGGTGACAACCGTGTTGTCCTGCTGGAGCCGAAGCCCGTGGCCAACGTCACCTGCGTGAACAAGCACCTGCCCATCAAAGTGTCGGAGCCCAGCCAGCCTTGCAACTTCCACTATGAGTGCGAGTGTGAGTGTGAGGGCGGTCGCGGGACTCCCCCGGGGGCGGGTGGAGCGGGCGTGCCAGCGGCCAGGCTGGAGGAGTGGGGCGCGGGGGTGCGTGGAGGCGCGCCTGGGAGATGGGTGGCATCCCTTCAGGAAACCACCAGGCGCCACGCCGGCCTGGGCACAGCGGTGCACATGGTGTACGCCATTAGTCTGCAGACTCCGTGTCCACCGGGCTGAACATGCTGACGCAGCCCACAGGAGAGGGGCAGAGGCGTTGGCTGAGCTTGTCTGCACATCCGCCTGTGTGGCTTGAAAGGAAGCCCGTCCAGGGGTTTCTGAGGCCGGGAGAAGCTCAGGATGGAAGCCGGAGCCCAGAGGAGCTGTGGTCTCGGGTCCTCACAGCAGCTGCCGTCACAGCGGCACCGTCGCTGAGAGGTGGTGGGGTTCCCACCCCTCCCGTGTCCTTAGCCCCAGGCCGCCCTTCCAAACCTCCACAGGCCAGGGGACTTAGACGACACAGACGCTCTCTCCCTCCTGGAGCTGGAAGGCTGAGATCCAGGCGGGCAGGGCCACGCTCCCTGTGGAGGGTCTGGGGAGGTCCTTCCTGCCTCTCCCAGCCTGGGGGCTCCAGGTGTCCCCTGGACGTGGCTGCATCTCCTCCTCTGTCTCTCTGTGGCCTCCCGACTCCATGTGTCTGTCTCTCTCCTGTCCCCCGCAAGGGTGGTGGCCATTGGATTTAGGGTCCACCCGGGTAGTCCCCAATGATGTCATTATAAGATGCTTCACTTAATCACTCTGCAAAGACGCTTTCTCCCGGCAAGGCCACGTGTGGAGGTTCTGTGGTGGCCATAGATTTTGGGGGGCACCATTCTACACACTGCACCCACTTTATAGATGAGGCTGCTGAGGCCGAGGGGCTTGAGGGGGTCCCAGGGCGGCAGTCGCTGTGGCGACGCTGGCTGCGGAGAAGCCTGGGGTGCGAGGGGACCCCCATGGAGCCCGCCAGCCCGCCGGTGCCTCTGTGTCCCGCAGGTGTCTGCAGCATGTGGGGGGGCTCCCACTACTCCACCTTTGACGGCACCTCTTACTCCTTCCGGGGCAACTGCACCTACGTCCTCATGAGGGAGATCCACGCGCGCCTTGGGAATCTCAGCCTCTACCTGGACAGCCAGTACTGCGCGGCCCCCGCCGCCGCCAGCTGTCCCCGGGCCCTCAGCATCCATTACAAGTCCGTGGAGATCGTCCTCACTGTCACCACGGCGCACGGGAAGGAGGAGGGCCTGGTGAGTCCAGGCAGCTGGAGGGCGGCCCTCCCTGTGCCCAGGCCGCGTGTGGCAGTGATGGGCGTCTCCCAACCACACCCGGGCAGGCCGACTGCAGGCCGGGGGCCCGGCTGCTGCGGCGATGGCCCAGGGCCGGAGGCAGTTCCCGGGGGGCAGGGAAGGTTGTGGGGCCACCCCAGGCTGAACGCACCCTGCGGCCCAAATGCAGCCAACTGGAGACTCCAGGCCCCCGGGGAAGAGCCAGGCTTTGGGGTGGGGGCTGCGCAGGCAGAGCCCCAAAGGCAAGTCCCGCCCCCAGAGCCCACCCAGCTCACAGGCTCCCCTGGCTGCCCCCAGATCTTGTTTGACCAAATTCGGGTGAGCAGCGGCTTCAGCAAGGACGGGGTGCTTGTGTCTGTGACGGGGGCCGCCATGCGCGTGGACATTCCCGCCCTGAGTGTGAGCGTCACCTTCGACGGAAACGTCTTCCAGGCCCGGCTGCCCTACAGCCTCTTCCACAACAACACCGAGGGCCAGTGCGGTGAGTGAGCGCCGCCCGCCCGGCGGGTCCTGCCCCACCGGGGCTGTCCCAGGGGCCGACAGCCCAGTGGGCAAAGGGGAAGCCTGCGGACGGGATTGAACTGGGGCTTGGGGGGAAACTCTGGAGAGGAATGAGCTTCGGGGTGGGGGGAGTCTGTGGAGGGAAATGCTCTCCGTGGGGGAAGCCATGGATGGGAATGAGCCAGGGGCTGGGGGGCAGCCTTCAGAGGGGAATGAGCTGGGAGCGAAGCCTGTGGAGGGGAATGAGCCAGGGGAAGGGGCGCAAAAATCTCCCCGGATTCCAGCCCCCTGGTGACACCCCGGCCTGCCCCCAGGCACCTGCACCAACAGCCAGAGGGACGATTGCCGCAGTCGGGATGGAACCATGGCCGCCAGCTGCAAGGACATGGCCAAGACGTGGCTGGTCCCCGACAGCAGGAAGGACGGCTGCTGGGCCCCAACCAGCACGCCCCCCACTGCCAGCCCCACGGCCCCAACCTCTGGCGCACCCACCCCCAGCCGGTGCCCGCCGCAGCCGCTCTGTGATCTGATGCTGAGCCAGTGAGTCCTCCCCCCCGGATGGGAGGCCCCGGGGTGCCCCTGCCTGCCCTTGCTCAGCTCCCTGGGGGCCTGGTGCCCTCCGCCCCATCGCTCTGCCCACAGGGTCTTTGCCGACTGCCATGACCTGGTGCCCCCCGGCCCATTCTTCAACGCCTGCGTCAGTGACGGCTGCCGGGGCCGCCCCGAGGTGCCCTGCCAGAGCCTGGAGGCCTACGCGGCGCTCTGCCGCGCACGGGGGGTGTGCAGTGACTGGCGGGGTGCGGCCGGCGGCCTGTGTGGTGAGTGGGCATGGCTCTGCACCTCCAGACCCCTCGGCCTCTCTAAGGGGCCTGTGCAGTGAGTGGGCGTGGCCCTGCGCCCCCAGACCCTCAGCCTCTCTGAGGGGCCTATGCAGTGAGTGGGGGGCAGCCCTGCACCCCTAGACCCCTTGGCCTCTCTGAGGGGCCTGTGCAGTGAGTGGGCGGCAGCCCTGTGCCCCCATACCCCTCGGCCTTTCTGAGGGGCCTGTGCAGTGAGTGGGGGCGGCTCTGCACCCCTAGACCCCTCGGCCTCTCTGAGGGGCCTGTGCAGTGAGGGGGGACGGCCCTGGACCCCCAGACCCCTCAGCCTCTCTGACATCTCCCTGTAACCACAGATCTCACCTGCCCGCCCACCAAAGTGTACAAGCCGTGCGGCCCCATACAGCCTGCCTCCTGCAACTCCAGGTGAGCACAGGGATGGCTGGATCTGGGGGAGCAGGAGGCCAGGGGACATCCTGCTGTGAGCCACAGATCTCTGCAGTGCCCCTGAGCCCAGGACTCCTTGAAAAACATCCCCAGCTGCTCCCAGATACCTTAGAGACAGAGCAGGCAGGAGGCATGTCCCCACCCACCCCAGACCCACGCCCGCCCTGGCGTCCCCCCATCCCCACCCCTGCCCCGCCCATTCTCTCCCACCCTGAGCCCTGCACGCCACCATTGCTCTCCTTCCTGCTCACCACTGCCCATCCTGGGGACTCACATGGATGAAGATGCCGGGAGGCCTCCTGGACCTCAGGGTCCCAGGGCCACTCTTGTCACCCTGTAGGAACCAGAGCCCACAGCTGGAGGGGCTGGCGGAGGGCTGCTTCTGCCCCGAAGACCAGATCCTCTTCAACGAACACACGGGCATCTGCGTGCCGGCCTGCCGTAAGCACTGTCACCTGGGCTGGCCAAGCGCCTGCAGGGTGGGAGGGGCCGTCCCGGCCACACTGTGTTGTCCCCTCTCCCCAGCTGACCCCTGTGCCATGTTCACCCCACCAGAGGCCCGGGACAGCCCCAGTGTGGCCCTGAGCCCCTGCAGAGCCCCCTCCGGCCCCCTGAAGCCCCATGGGGAGGCTCTATCCTTGTACCATCCTGTCGTGGTCCCTCCCCTGAGCTCTACCTCCCACCACCGTGGCCGAGCCTCCTGTGCACTGACAGCTGGGCTCAAAGTGCCCTGGCTTGAGCTCCAGCCACAGCCGACATCCGACAAGATTTCCAGGGGCTTCCATCCCAGGGGGGAGCGGCGCCAGGCCTGAGAGCACCTCCTGGGGCCAGAGGCCCCTCTGCCCAAAATCTCAGCACCCTCAGTGACGCCGTGCCCTTTCCTTTCCAGCCTGCGTGGGACCGGATGGCTTTCCCAAATCTGTGAGTGGCTCCACCCCAACCTGCCCTAACCAACCATCCCTCAAGCTAAGGGAGGAAGAGCCTCCCCATCCCACAGGGCAGCTGTGGGGCGCACGAGTGTGACGTGGACGTCCCGGTGGCTGGTGTGGGCTTCCTGCCCTGTCACTCTGGGCCGCTAGGGTGCCAGCCCAAGGGAGGGGGTGGCCAGACAGATGCCCAGGATTGGCCCATGGCTGAGTGTGGTGGGGAGGCCCAGAGCCCTGTCCAAGAACCCTCAGGAACCCCCTCGATCCCTTCCAGCCTGGGGAGCGGTGGGTCAGCAACTGCCAGGCCTGCGTGTGTGACGAGGGCTCAGTGTCAGTGCAGTGCCAGCCCCTGCCCTGTGAGGCCCAGGGCCAGCCCCCCACGTGCACCCGCCCCGGCTTCCAGACTGTGACCAGGCCCCGGGCCAACGACCCCTGCTGCCCTGAGACACTGTGCGGTAAGAGCCCAAGGAGCAGAGGTGCCCGGCATGGGGTGGGGGGGATGGAGCCAGTGCCCGCCAGGGGCCTGCAGGGTGGGCACAGGAGAGCAGAGGAAAGCCACCGTGTCCTGGCCTGACCAGATGAGACCACTCGGCAGAGACAGCCTCCAGGTGCTTCACTGTCCTCCTAAAGATGAGGCCGGTGTCCTCTGGCCTGCCCAGGAGTGGGGAGCAGCGGGGAAGTGGTCAAGCGAGGGTCCTGGAGGGAACCCCCAAGGGCCGTGGGAGAAGTCAGGTCTCCGGGGAGGAGCCCGCCCGGGGCTTACTCTGGGAACAATGGGTCGGGAGGAGTAGTGGGCAGCCCCGGACCGTGCCCTCTGTCCCCCCGCAGTATGCAACACCACCACCTGTCCCCAGAGCCCGCCCGTGTGCCCGCCAGGCCAGGAGCCCTACCGCACCCAGGAGGAGGGCGACTGCTGTCCCACCTTCCGCTGCAGTGAGCAGGGCGGGGGCGGGGAGGATGGGCTCCTGGGTGGCCATGTGCCCAGGGGTGGGGGATGAAGGAGGGCAGCTGGGAGAGGGACGGGCTCCTGGGTGGCCATGAGCCCGGGGTTGGGGGGTGTAGGAGGGTGGGCAGGGTGGGGGGGACGAGCTCCTGGGTGGCCATTCGTCCGGCGGCGGGGGTCGCAGGCAGGCGAGGGCACAGAGCACAGGCTCAGCTCCCTTTCCTTCCAGGACCTCAGCTGTGTACTTACAATGGCACCTTCTACGGGGTAAGGGCACAGCAGCGAGTGGGGGCGGCCCTGCACCGAGACATCTGTGTGGGGTGCCCAGGGCCCTCTGAACCCCACTCCTTGTCATGACACTCCTGCCATGAGGGCAGATCCATACAGGGGCCTGGGCTCACAAGGCTGGGACACACCTGAGACTCGGAGACCCCTTACGTCTTCAGCCGTGAGCGCCACACCTGCTGCCTCTGAGTGGTTACTCAGGGCCTCCCAGCAAGGACCCAGGGGCAGGACACGCCTGCCTGGGGTCCCTGCCCACCCAGATTCCCTGCTCGTCCAGATTCCCTGCCCTCCTGCATTCCCTGACCACCAGGGGTGCATCCATTTGAGGAGTGCTCCATTTAGGGAAGAGACAACTTCCTGCGGGTCCCAACCAGTCACGGGGAGGGGTCCTGGCCCTGTTGCCCACCAGTGCCCTCAGTGCCACCCTCCCACCCACTGCAGGTTGGTACAACATTCCCAGGGACCCTTCCCTGCCACACGTGCACCTGCCTCTCTGGGGACACCCAGAATCCAACAGTGCAGTGTCAGGAGAATGCCTGCAACAATGCCACCTGCCCCCAGGTGAGCCCCCAGGCACCTGCCCTTATGTGAGCCCCCAGGCACCTGCCCCCAGGTGAGTCCCCAAGATGCCCACCCCCAGGTAAGCCCTCCAGGCACCCACCCCCAGGTGAGCCCCTGAGGCACCCACCCCCAGGTAAGCCCCCCAGGCGAGCCCCCAAGGCACCCACCCCCAGGAGAGCCCCCAGACACCTGCCCTTATGTGAGCCCCCAGGCACCTGTCCCCAGGTGAGTCCCCAAGACACCCACCCCCAGGTGAGCCCCCAGGCACCCACCCCCAGGTGAACCCCTGAGGCACCCATCCCCAGGTGAGCCAGCCCCCCAGGCACCCACCTGCAGGTGAGCCCCTCAGGCACCCCCAGGTGAGCCCCCAAAGCACCCACCCCCAGGTGAGCCCCCAGGCATCCACTCCCAGGTGAGCCCCCAGGCATCCACTCCCAGGTGAGCCCCTGAGGCACCCACCCCCAGCTGAGCCCCCAGACACCCACCCCCAGGTGAGTCCCCAGGCACCCGCCCTTAGGTGAGCCAACAGCTGCCAGGCAGACCCAGCCCTGAGTCATGCTGACCTGCCTCCCTGGGGTTCTCTAGCTCAGCCTTTGCTGGGGTCATGGTTGTTCCCAAAGGGAGGGCATAAAGTAGGGTGACTGAGGGGCCTGAGGGCGGGACAGGCCTGCGGGCTGCCGGGGACAGGGTTAGCACCAGGTCCCAGGAAGAAAGGGGTAGGCAGAGAGAAGGTGCTGGAAACTGGGGCGAGGCTGAGCCGGATAACTGGGTGGGGGCAGCTTCTGTGGATATAGGTCCAGGCAGGGACAGTGATAAGGGCCACCAGACCACTGGGGTGTTGATGGCAGGGCAGGCTGGGCCAGGTAGGGCCCTGGAGGAGAGGAGTACAGCTGACACCCTCCTGTCCCACAGGGCTTTGAGTACAAGAGCGTGGCCGGGCAGTGCTGCAGGGAGTGCGTGCAGACAGCCTGCCTCACGCCCGACGGCCGGCCCGTCCAGGTAACAGCCGGGGCGTGGGGGCAGGTCTGGGCTCCGCACCCTCCGCAGACCGTCATCCTCAAAGGGGCTCGGTGCAAGAGACAATCTCCACTCAGCTTCCACTCTGCCTTGCACTTCAGCTGAACGAAACCTGGGTCAACAGCCCTGTGGACAACTGCACCGTGTACCGCTGTGAGGTCGAGAGCGGACTCCATCTGCTGACCCCACAGCCTGCATCCTGCCCAGATGTGTCCAGCTGCAGGGTGTGTGCTAGAGGCCCCGCCCCTGCCTGGGAGGCCCCACCCAGAAGGGAGTCTCCACCCCCTCAGAGGCCCCACCCCTTCCCTGGAGGCCCTGCCCCTGCCTGGGAGACCCTGTCCACCAGGCAGGCCCCGCCCCTGCCTGGGAAGCCCCACCCAGCAGGGAGTCTCCACCCCTTCCTTGGAGGCCCCGCCCCTGCCTGGGAGACCCTGTCCATCAGGGAGTCTCCCCCCTCTGCCTGGGAGGCCCCGCCCCTTCCCGGGAGGCCCTGCCCCTACCTGGGAGACCCTGTCCATCAGGGAAGCCCCACCCAGCAGGGAGGCTCCACTCCTTCCCCAGAGGCCCTGCCTCTCCCTACCCTTGTCTGGGAGCCCCTGGGAGGCTTCCCCCCTACCCTAGTAGGCCACACCTCCCAGGGAATCCCCGAGGCACCTGCCTCCAGGTGAGCCCCCCCACACACACACCTGCCTCCAGGTGAGCCCCCCCCCGGACACCCACCCCCAGGTGAGTCCCCAGGCACCAGCCCCCAGGTGAGCCCCCAGGCACCCCACAGCCCTGGCCCTGTCTTTGGCCCCACAGGGGAGCCTCAGGAAAACCGGCTGCTGCTACTCCTGTGAGGAGGGTAAGTGGAGGCCGCCTTCCTACACCCGCCCTCCGGCTTCATCCCGTGCCCTTCCGTTCCCGACCAGACGGCAGGGCTGGGCAGCAGTGGGGTCGCGGCCTCCAGACTCCAGCCTTGGTCCGGGAGGGCAGTGGGAGGGGTGGTCCCGTGGGGAGGGCCCACCCGCCACGTCCTCAGAGCCAGGGTCCGCGGGGGCCTTGCATCCGCCTTTCTTCTCCCAGACTCCTGTCAAGTCCGCGTCAACACAACCGTTCTGCGGCACCAGGGCTGCGAGACCCAGGCTGCGGTCAACATCACCTTCTGTGAGGGCTCCTGCCCCGGAGCGTCCAAGTGAGTGGGCTCCTGGCCCTGTGCCAACAGCACATGCGTGCGGTGGGTCCGTCCGGGCCCATCTGCTGGCCGGCATCCCGCTCTGGGTCAGGAGGGCTTGCGCCAGCTCCACGAAGCAGGAAAGCAGCTCCCCAGCAGGGCCCCCCTTCTCCACGTCCATCGGCAGAAAGCCTGGGGCCGCTCTCGCGGCCAGGCCAGGGCCCTGCTGAGCTCAGCCACATGGCCCAGAGCTCCCAGCCGCAAACCCAGGTCCGGGGAACCCCCTAGGGAGAGTGGGCGGAACCAGAGCCTTCCATGGAGCCCCCATGGCTTGCCACAGCGGCCAGCTGTCAGCAGGAGGGGCCAGGAGGGTTGACCCTTGGCTAGAAGAGGCAGGAGGAAGGGTCAAGGGCTGCTCAGGGTCAGCAGGGCTGGAGGAGCTGGTTCAGACAGGGGAAGGGCCACAGAAGACAGCACCTGGGCCAAGGGACCCTGGGAGCCCAGAGCCGACCCCGCCTGGGAAGGTGAAGCTCCATGTGCCCACAGAGCAGGCCACTGTGGACAGAGGGGTGGCCATCTGGCCCAGGACCCCAGAGGCCCACGTGTCACCGCAGCTGGGCAGAGAAACGGTGGGGCCCCGGTGGCTGGTCTGAGGGCCGCCCTGCATCCACAGGTACTCAGCGGAGGCCCAGGCCATGCGGCACGAGTGCACCTGCTGCCAGGAGAGGCGGGTCCACGAGGAGACCATAGCCTTGCGCTGTCCTGATGGCTCAGCTGTCCTGCACACATACGTCCACGTGGATGAGTGTGGCTGCACGCCCTTCTGCGTCCCCGAGCCCGTGGCTCCCACACACACCCCTGGCTTCCCGGTCTAGGAGGCCACTGCCGTCTGACGATGTTCTGCCTCTACCCCATGCCCTGTCCACCTGGAGCCAGAACGCACATTGCCCAAGCACAACCATCTTGGGCCTGCTCCACGGAACCCCCCGGCCTCTGTGTGGCACCCCGTGCCTCCATGCTCCTGCTGCCCACCCTGGTGGTAGAACCAACCCCTGGAAGGGTGAGGAGCCAGCAGGATGCCTTTCAGGAGAGCGCCACTCAGGAGTCCTGCCCTGGTACAGCCTGTGGCCTGTCTTGGCCTTGCCCCTCCCTGAGGTCACTGGGACACCCTGGAACAAACTAAGCATGCTCAGGCCTGTGTGTTCCCGCCACGCCCTGAGCCACGGCCAGAGCCCCCGTGCAGCACGAATCCCAGCTGACCGTGTCCGGCCGCTGGGGCACAGACAGCCCGGTCCAGGCAAGGCTGGCTGCTGCTGGGAAGCTGTGCCAGGCAATGCGTCCGCCCGTCCGTGCCTGCTGCAGGGTACCTTGGGGCTGAGGCCACAAAGCCAGGTGAGAAGGGTCAGCATCCCAAAGCCCCCTCTGGCCAGCTCAAACCAGTTCTGCAAATAAACCCTGAGCATTGCCTACATCTTCTGTCCCAGCGTCTTTTCCTGCCTACCATCTCTCCCAGGCGCCCCGGTCCTCTGAGGGCTGCCTGCCTGGGCCCTGCCGGCTGGAGGACACATCCAGGGGACAGTACAGAACCCCCATCAGCCGCTGAGGGGCCAGGAAGTCTCTGGGAGGGCCAGGCGGGGTGGGGGGCAGGAAGCCAGATGGTCATCCATGTGCTCCTGAGGGCACCCTGGGAGCCAGTCTTGGGCTGTGGGAGTGCCAGCCAGGAGACAGGGCACAGGGGGCCGCCAGGACCCGGAGGTCACCCCGGCTGTGATTTCCAGCATGGGGGATTGTGTGAGGAAACTGCTCGTGCAGGAAGACAGAGGCTGTCAGTGGGGCAGACATGGAATCAGGCCCTGTCAGCGGGGACGCAGCCGCCCCCCAGGGCAGGTGACCGGAGCTGGGCACGATGCTCCCAGGCTGGTGCTGGGCCCTGTGGGGCCACCTTTCACCCCGTCCTGTGTGGACCCCCCAGATGCTTTCCTCCGGGGCTTGCTCACCTCCTGTCTCACCTCCCCATGTGGCAAGGCTTCCTGCCCTTCCTTTCTGTTGCTCTGCCCAGAGCAGAGAGCACCCCGTGCAGACAGCAGGGGACTGGGGAGCCTGTGGGATGGGCAGCACTGACAGCTGGGGCTGCAGGTGTGGGCAGGGAAGACAGTGAAGGTGGTATCAGCCAGGACCTGGGCACAGCAGGATGCAGGGGGCCTTGGGCACAAAACCACCTCCTACTGGGCAGGGGGTGGGCACAGGCAGACTGTGGTCTGGGGAGACGAGGACAATGCCCACACCTTGCCATGGAGGCCGCTGGTGGGGGTGCAGAGCAGGGCCTTCCCCACACCGGGAACTGCCTCTGCCCTCTGCCCTCGGGTGGGTCCTGCCCTGCCCAGGAAGTGACGCCATCATTACAGCAGTGTGGGAACGGCCTCATACAAAAGGCTTTGCCCCTCCTCTCCACAGTGTGGCAGGTGTAGCCTCTCAGCACGTCCCAAATCCCATTTACAGAGCGAGGCCCCTGCCGGTGCTCCAGCCTCTCCTCCCCTCCTTGCCGAGGCCCAGCAGGACAGGCCACCCCAGGACTGGGCTGGAGACAGTCAAGGGGCTGGTAAGGTTGCAGGTGGGCTCCAGGGGGCAGTGGGTTAGGATGGTCACCACCAGGGTCAGCTTCTGTAGGTTTACGCTGTGTCTTTGAGGCTGATTCCCTGGAGGCCACGCCAGGTCACTGCCCAACTAGGCCTGCATTCAGCCACACGTAAACGGTGTTTCCTGAACCTCAGTCATTCTCGTGGCACAATGGTTTCTTAGACCCATTTACGCCGGTGTGTGGGTACCAGCACCCATCTCAGAGGCCTGTGCTATGCCATCTGCACCACAGAACTATCTCATTCAATCCTGACAATGACGCTGTATGATGTCTGGGATCGCGTCTCCCATCCCACGGATGGGAGCACTGAGGCACAAGGTGATGAAAAGGTGTGCTTCTGTTGGGGGAAAGCTGGGCTCACACCCAGGCAGCCCACATGGAGTCCACACTCAAAACCACAGGGCTCTGCTGATGCCCCAGAGCGAGGAAATATAGAAAGACACAGTGAATACAAACCAATGTTACTCAGCCTTTATAGACGTTGTAAAGTGGGTTTCTGGTTTCCAGATGGAAAAGTGGGCATGTCTCCCCCACAGACACAAAAACCACGGCAATGATAGAAACTTTAAAATAGCAGCAATTGAAAACAAGAAAGTAGCTGGGCGTGGTGGCTCAGGCCTGTCATCCCAGCACTTTGGGAGGTCCAGGCGGGTGGATCACCTGAGGTCAGGAGTTTGAGACCAGCCTCACCAACATGGTGAAACCTCGCCTCTACCAAAAATACAAAAAATTAGCCAGGCATGGTGGCAGATGCCCATAATCCCAGTTACTTGGGAGGCTAAGGCAGAAGAATTGCTTGAATTTGGGAGGTGGAGTTTGCAGTGAGTCAAGATCACACCACTGCACTCCAGCTTGGGTGACAGAGCAAGACTCTGTCTAAAAAAAAAAAAAAAAAAAAAAAATGAAAGAAAAGAAAGAAAACAAGAAAGTAAATCATAAATCATCTTCAAGGCAGGAAGATATCCTGAAAAGGAGGGATTTGGGAAGTGCTGAGAGGCCACATACTGCCACACTGTGTATGTGTTGGGGGTGGGGGGACAAAGCCTTTTGTATGAGTCCGTTCTCACATTGCTATAAAGAAATATCTGAGACTGTATAATTTATAAAGAAAAAGGATTAACTGACTCACAGTTCTGCCTGGTTGAGGAGGCCTCAGGAAACTTACAGTCATGGTAGAGGCCAAAGCAGAAGCAGGCACCTTCCTGACAAAGTGGCAAGAGAATGAGACGCAGCAGGGGAGATGCCAGATGCTTATTAAACCATCCAATCTCGTGAGAACGCACTCACTATCACAAGAGCAGCATGGAGGAAACCACCCCATGATCCAATCACCTCCCACAGCGTCCCTCCCATGACATCTGGGGATTATGGGGATGTATTAGTCCATTTCCACACTGCTGATAAAGACATAACTAAGAATGGAAAGAAAAAGAGGTTTAATTGGACTTACAGTTCCACATGGCTGGGGAGGCTTCAGAATCATGGTGGGAGGTGAAAGGCACATCTTACATGGTGGCAGTAAGGAAAAATGAGGAGGAAGCAAAAGTGGAAACCCTGATACAGCCATCAGATCTCGTGAGACTTATTCACTATTACAAGAATAGCATCTGAAGGACTGGCCCTCATGGTTCAATCATCTCTGCCTCAATGCCCACATGTGGGAATTCTGGGAGATACAATTCAAGGTGAGATGTGGGTGAGGACACAGCCAAACCATATCATTCTGCCCCTTGCCCCGCCAAACCTCATGTCCTCACATTTCAAAACCAATCATGCTTTCACAGCAGTCCCCCAAAGTCTTAACTTAGTTCAGCATTAACCCAAAAGCCCAGAGCTCAACATCTCATCTGAGGCAAGGCAAGTCCCTTCTATGAGCCTGTAAAATCAAAAGCAAGTTAGTTACTTGCTAGATACAATGGCAGTACATGTATTTGGTAAATACAGCTGTTCCAAATGGGAGAAATTGGCCCAAACCAAGCGGTTACAGGGCACATGCAAGTCCGAAATCCAGTGGGGCAGTCAAACTTTAAAGCTCCAAAATGATCTCCTTTGACTCCAGGTTTCACATCCAGTTCATGCTGATGCAAGAAGTAGGCTGCCATGGTGTTGGGCAGCTCTGTCCCTGTGGCTTTGCAGGGTACAGCCTCCCTCCCAGCTGCTTTGAGCATTTGTGACTTTTCCAGGTGCACAATGCAAGCTGTCATGGACCTACCATTCTAGGGTCTGGAGGATAGTGGCCCTCTTCTCACAGCTCCACTAGGTGGTGTCCCAGTAGGGACTCTATGTGAGGGCTCTGACCCCAGATTTCTCCTCTGCACTGACCTAGCAGAGGTTTTCCATGAGGGCCCCACTCCTGCAGCAAACTTCTGCCTGGACATTCAGGTGTTCCGTACATGTTCTGAAATCGAAGTGGAGAGAAGCAGCCAAGGCTTGGAGCCTCCACCCTCTGAAGCCACAGCCTGAGCTCTACATTGGCCCCTTTCAGCCATGGCTGGAGCAGCTGGAATGCAGGACACCAAGTCCCTAGGCTGCACACTGCATGCAGACTCTGGGCCTGGCCCACAAAACCACTTTTTCCTCCTGGGCCTCCAGGTCTGTGATGGGAGGGGCTGCCGTGAAGTTCTTTGATGTGGCCTGGAGACATTTTCCCCATGGTCTTGGGGATTCGCATTAGGCTCCTTGCTACTTAAGCAAATTTCTGTGGTTGGCTTAAATTTCTCCTCAAAAAATTGTTTTGTTTTGTGTTTTTCTACTGCATTGTCAGGCTGAAAATTTTCTGAACTTTTATGCTGTTTCCCTTTTCTTAATTTTTTTTTTTTTTTTTTTTTTTTTTTTAGATGGAGTCTCACTCTGTCATTCAGGCTGAAGTGCAGTGGCACAATCTCAGCTCAGTGCACCCTCCGTCACCTGGGTTCAAGCAATTCTCCTGCCTCAGCCTCCTGAGCTGGCATTACAGGTGCATGCCACCATGCCTGGCTAATTTTTGTATTTTTAGTAGCAATGGGTTTCACCATGTTGGCCAGGCTGGTCTCAAACTTTTCCTGACCTCAGGTGATCCACCCACCTCAGCCTCCCAAAGTGCTAGGAGTACAGGCATGAGCCACTGTGCCCAGCCTGTTTCCCTTTTAAAATGGAATGCTTAACAGCATCCAAGTCATCTCTTGAGTGCTTTGCTGCTTGCTTAAAAATTTCTCCTGCCAGATACCCTAGATCATCTCTCTCAAGTTCAAAGTTCCAGAAATCTCTAGGGCAGGG